CCACTTTTGGAGGTTCGGATGTTGGAAAAGTGCACGCCGTTGTGGCGCGAAGCACATTTCCAAGTCAAAAATGTACAAAATTTTGGAGGTTCGGATGTTGGAAAAGTGCACGCCGTTGTGGCGCGAAGCAGGTTTCGAAGTCAAAATGTACAAAACACTAGGGGTTCGGACCACTTTTGGAGGTTCAGATGTCGCTTCGCTTCAAGACACTACACTACAGGACATTACACTACACTACACGCCAGTACACTACATTACACTACATGACACTCCAGGACACTCCACTACACTAAATTACACTACACCACACTACATTACACTGAATGACTAGGAGAGATAGACAGACAGACAGATAGATAGATAGATAGATAGATAGAGAGATAGATAGATAGATCGATAGATAGATAGATAAATCGATAGATGGATAGATAGATAGATAGATAGATAGATACATAGAGAGATAGATAGATAAATAGATAGATAGATAGATAGATAGATAGACAGAAAGAAAGATAGATAGATAGATAGATAGATAGATAGATAGGATAGATAAGATAGATAGATAGATAGATCGATAGATAGATAGATAGATTAATAGATTAATAGATAGATAGATAGATAGATAGATAGATAGATAGATAGATAGATAGATAGATAGATAGATAGATAGATAGATAGATAGATAGATAGATAGATAGGATAGATAGGATAGATAGGATAGATAGGATAGATAGGATAGATAGGATAGATAGGATAGATAGGATAGATAGGATAGATAGATAGGATAGATAGGATAGATAGGATAGATAGGATAGATAGGATAGATAGGATAGATAGGATAGATAGGATAGATAGGATAGATAGGATAGATAGGATAGATAGGATAGATAGGATAGATAGGGATAGATAGGATAGATAGGATAGATAGATAGATAGATAGATCGATAGATCGATAGATCGATAGATCGATAGATCGATAGATCGATAGATAGATAGATAGGATAGATAGATAAGATAGATCCACTAAACTTCACTACACTACACTACACTATTACAACTACAACTACAAATGCACAACTACACTCCACTACGCTTCACTACACTACACTACACTACATTACACTACACAACATTACACTACACTACGCTACGCCACCTTCCACTACACTTCACTACATTACACTACACTCCACTACACTACAAATACAACTACAACCACACAACTACACTCCACTACACTCCATTACGCTAAATTACACTTCACTACAGTACACTACACTACACTCCACTACAGTACATTACACTACACTACACTCCACAACACTACAACTACAACTACACAACTACATTCCACTACACTCCACTACACTAAATTACACTACACCACACTACAATACATTACACTACAATCCAGTACAGTACACTACGCTACATTACACTAACTTCCACTACACTCCGCTACACTACACTACATGCCACTACACTCCACTACACAACACTACATTACAGTACAGTACATTACACTGAATGACACTGCACCACAGATAGACAGGTCGACAGACAGACAGACAGACAGACAGACAGACCGACGGACAGACAGACAGACAGACAGACAGACAGATAGACAGATGAAAGTGAGAGAGAGAGAGAGAGAGAGAGATAGGGATAGATAGATAGACCGAAAGATAGATAGATAGATAGATCGATAGATAGTTAGATAGATAGATAGTTAGAAAGCTAGGTAGATAGATAGATCGATAGATAGATAGGTAGGTAGGTAGATAGATAGATAGGTAGATAGATAGATCGATAGATAGATCGATAGATCGATAGATAGATAGATAGATACATAGAAGATAGGTTGGTAGGTGGGTAGATAGTCAGAGAAAGAGAGAGAAAGAGTGAGAGAGATCAAACACCTTTCAGTCCATCAGTGGCTTCGCTCTGCCATCCCTGATTCACAACAACCAATCTCTCCTATAGGTTTCCTATTTTTGAAACTTCCGCCACCGCCTTGTGCGGTACTACTGGTATCATCTTGGATATGGAGATGATATGGGGATCTATATCACTCTCAGGGATTATATGGAGATTATATCACTCTCAGACAAACATATGGAGACATGATTATTTGGCGAGACCATGGGGATCGAACAAATGGGTTTGTCTGAGAAATTACAGGGTACCCCGTACCCCTAACTTTGATGCTTTAAAGCATCACTTTCCCGATGAAATTGCTTATGGGTATATGGTATAGCCTATTTTCAGACACACCCACATTTATACCATCTGGTTATGATTAACAGTTCGCCATGGAAAATCCCCAAAAATAAATGGAGGTTTAGAATTAGCTGGGAAAATCATCTATTTCTATGGGCCACCAATTTTCCATGGCTATGTTAGTCATAACCAGAGGATACTCCAATTGTTTTGGGGAAAACCCAACCATACTGAGGTTTCGATGGATCGATCAAAGGGAGATGGCTATGGGTTGGGTTCCCAGGGTGCGACATTTCCTTCAAACTGAACAGGATGGGCCCCCCTCAGTTATGTTTGTTAGTTTATAAAGCCCATGAATACTATAGTTATATCTACCATAAACCATTGTTAAACCACTTATGTTCGGCAACTGAACGCGATTTCGACTGGGGGCCCCATCCGGTAGGAAATAAAGTTTTTTTTTTTTGCCACAACCTGCACTACTCCCATCCCCTGAACTCCTATCGAAAAATGCTAGTAAAACAATAGTCAACCACCAATCTTTCGCTGGTTTCTACCAAACATTTATCGTAAATTTGGGGATAGTTTCACAGTTTCCTTTTGCTTTCTGAACATTACCCCTAAAGAATTTGGTATGGGCCGGTATGGGGTATTGGATCCGTTGAATTCTGGGGTCCCAAAATCTGGATAGGTCGGCGACCAGGTCGGAAAAAACTGCTCAAGTTTGGGAGACGGAGTAGCCTCTGGTAAACTAACAGTTTGCGAACTGGAAAATTGCAATTTAGTTCGTTGATTTAACCAGCAATAAAATGGCTGGATTTTCCATAGTTATGTTGGTTTACCAGAGTGTAGTTTGAAGATGCTTTCATGCCCGGATTGATAATGTGATTTTTTGTGATGTCCCTAAACTCTGGAGACACAAAAAAATCGGGTTTGAGTCAATGGTTTGAGTCACTTGAGTCAGATTCCCATGGTCCTGGTGAACCAACTGGCCAGCTGGGAAATGGATGTTCATGCCCCAATTGATGGCACTGGGATGGATCAATGGTTTGCCAATGGGTCCTGTATTGATGAACGGGTTACAAGGTGCTCCAGTTCGTTAGCCAAGGTGGTTTAGTTCACTACGATTTTGCTAGGATTTATGCTTCATATATTTCTAGTTAATGAGGTTTATAAACCAACTAACATCGCTAGGGGGCACCACCTTGTATCAATCCCGGCTTCAGCATCAACACAAAACAAGGACTCCACAACCCTCCCACCTCTGGGTAAGCACGCTGAAGCCGAAGTGAGTCCAAGAGATGGTTGGCAAATTGCCATTGAGCTTGCTGACTGCCTTACAGAAAGGTCACCCAGGTCCCAAAAATGGGGAGATGGTGTGGGTTTGTCTTAAAACTCTGGGAACACCCCAGATTTCCTGCTTGACGACAGCATTTTCCGCACCAAATCTTGCCATTACGCACCATTCTTCTGGTTACCAGCTGTGGTTCTGGCTGAACTCCGAAAAGCTCAGGGAAAAAATGCAACTTCCGCATTTGTGATACATTTCAGGTGTTTCCTGGAACCTGATGACGCACTGACAATGAACACCTACGTATCGTTCTGTCTCCATCTCTCTGTCTGTAATGTATACACAATACATGGTAAGACCCAAAAAGATAGAAAAGTAATGTATCCCTACTTTAGTAGGACTTAGCTTTTGCATCTTTTTTTGGGGTATATATATATACATGTATAATGTATTAAATAAATAAACAAATATATATATATATATTATATACACGGTATATACATATTATATAGACGGTATATATATATATATGTATTCTACATAGATATAGAAATACTGTGCTTACCAGTGTCTCAGGTGGGTTACCTCTGACCTTGGGAAGCTTGGCAGAAAACTGATCCATGGATTCACCCTCGACTGAAGTTAGTCCAATCACCAAACCCTTGGATTTGCTCAAGTTGCTCCAAAAAATAAGATATATTCATCTGGTTGGTGGTTTCAACCATCTTGAAACATATGAAAGTCAATGGGAAGGATTATCCCATATATGAAATGGAAAATAAAACATGTTCCAAACCACCAACCAGTCATACATATTCCCTATAGATTCCAAAATTGGTGGATTTCCCATGGGGGAAATAACTCATCACCGCAAACAACCAAGGAAAACGGAGCTTCAAAAGCAAACAGTAGTTTCATCTTTGTGTTAAAAAAACCGGTTCCAATACCCTTTCACCAATCATTTACCATCATTTTTCAGCCAGAATCGTATTTTACTGATAGGTCTGATGGGTATCCTATCCCCACCTAGGTTAAAAAATAGGGTAATAATGGGATATACAGTGGGATCAATCTGAACAAAGGCAACTTTAGGGGATAGCCACTTTTCATGACCCCCTTACTAAACGTTCACCATCCTTCAGTGATATCTTGAAAATTTATCCAGATATATCAGTGAAAACCCATGAGTTTTCCAAATCTTCAGGGTACTGATGGCAGCATTGAAGGTGATGACATCAGGAGAAAGCCTGTGTTCCTCACGCACAGGGAGATCTTGGGTTGAGTGGTATAGCTGCATTGGTATAGCCATACCTTGCTGGTGGTTGAGCCCTACAAGATGTTGAACTTGCTCGTCGCTCATCCCTTTATACAATGACTGTTGAAGCTGGAGAGTTATTGAACAACAAAAACACATACCATCTGGTTATTTAACAGTTCGCCATGGAAAGATCTACCCATTTTTAAGTTCGGTAAACCATCTATTTCTATGGGCCATGGCTTAACCATGGCGAACTGTTAGTCATAACCAGAGGGTAAAAACAAAAAGCACATTTTTGGGATCATGCATGGAGTATATGTCCCATGACAACAAAGGGACCACTCAAGAGTGGTACCTCCACATCCCTCGGATTCTCCTTAAGATCATCGAAAAGCAGCAAACTCAGGTCCCAGTTCCCTGCTTTTTCGTAGGAACTCATACCTCGGATTTTCATGGACGACTGAAAACAGCCACCAGATTTTCCATGGTTAATCATCATATTTTGGTATATATTTCCATTAAGCATTATTGAACTTGCAATTCCTTGTTTCAAATGGGTATCCACAAATTTGCAGATGCACCTATACTGAAACGCAAGACTTCAGTAGCGCCGTAGTCCAGACTGGAGCATGTCTAGATCGGTCAAATCCATAAAACGAATTAAAACGAAGATTTTTTTGATGCACATCCATTTTGTGTTTATCTGAAAACCGTGGATAACCCGGATAACTAACCATGAACCATCATTTATACTGGGGAGAATGATGGTGGACAAGTGAATTCGGGGTACCCTATTTTCTCCCATTTACAGTAACAGTCGCTTTGATGTTCACCAGTCGAACATGATTTTAACCCAGCCTTGGCCACAAGGAGCTGCTTCGAAGCTTTAAATTTCTGGCAACTTTATTTCACATTAACCATCTGCATCACATAATTCATTGGCATTATGGACACCCGCGGTGGTGCCCCTCAATTCTGTTGATGTTTAGTGGTTTAATGTGGTTTATAAAGCCAGCCACTCTCAGCTCCACAGTGCATCCAGTGCATCCAGCCACTGGCATTGTACGCTATGAGGTCGCAGGAAAATGTGTGTCGAAGCTCCCAGAAGAGCTGCTGCGCTCGCTGCCATTCACAATCCTTTTCAAGCGCACTGATGCAGCAGCAGTAGGTGACCCTGTCCTGGTGTCAAGATGGCTGGATCCAGTGGTGATCCCAGTGAGCTCCGGGCTGTGATCACTAGTGGCTTTGACCAGCAGACTTAGGAAACTTCCATTTTATGGCAATGCAACCAATGGGGAAATGGAGGTTTCCAAAGTCATGAGGCTACCCCAGTTCTCATCGATTTATAGATGGGTTTTGCACTAGAACCATCCAGCTATTGGGGTACCTCCCATTTGAGGAACCCCCCCAAATGAGCTTCCAAAACCACTGGATTTTCACAAGCCCTCCTGGGTTGTTTGAAGCTGCAACGTGACCCATTGCCATAAGCTGGCCTTTGCACAAGCCTCGCTTTGGAGCACTGGGAAAACTGAAAATCAGCAGTGCAAATGATCCTTGAAGATACAAATGTTTGAAAGCAACCAAAAATGGATCCAGCATGAAATTGTCTCCACATGTCTCGACATCTCCTCAATTTCTGGCGGTGCAATCTGCGAACCACCCAAAGTTATAGATATCTGACCCTGAACTTCACTAAGTTATGATCTTGCTTGAGTTTTTGGGGCATATGCTTTGAGGCACATCCCTGTTGGCGGATCATCATGTCCCTATCAAAATGCCAATCGTTTACACACATCCAGCTGATTGATACAACTAATCCCCTCTGCAAAATCCCATTCACGTCAAGGTAAATTACGCCAGTTCACCAATCTGAACATTTTAACACCATTAGATGATTTCCCTGATGTCCCCTTAACAAATATTGGATGATTTTAACAAAACTGGATGATTGCCCTTATCAGGGGTTGGTAAATGTCCTAATGTTTCACATCACTATATCGAGGATATTTCATCTCCAACAGATACTTGTTTTAGTGATGTGAAGCAAATCCCCTAAGCCATGGGACATTTACCAAACCCTGCTTCTTGATGCTTATTGACCATCATGGTGAGGTCGTTCTTGTCGGTCATTCTCCGCCGTGAAGCATTGACCATCGAGTTCATCGAGATGATATCGCTCTGCAGCGATGATATCGCCATGTCCTGAAGCCCCATCGCGGCGAAGTGGAGCCTGAACAATTGGGATTTCACCATGAGGAATCGGACATCCATAGGATGATTTTTTTTGTCTTTTTTATGGGGAGATCATTTGAAAATCACCTGTAAATGACCATTTCTTGGGGATATACGACCAACAATCTGATGTTTGGGTGTGTCTGACACGAAGGCATACCACCTTAAAACAGTTATGTTTTTGCGATAATGATGACAAACATTGATAAACCATGCAGATAAGCAGATCACTGCGGTTAAGTCACAGCAAGTAGTGACTAAGGACAGTTGCTTTCCACGGAACTCCCCGCACCAAAAAAAATCCCAATGAAACTCTGTTGACTTGTTGAATGATTGAAACTCCCCATGGATTTTGCACTGTAAATCACCAGAAAGAAAGTTGCAAAAGTTGCACCATAGAAACAACAACTCGCATTACTTGCATTTTGAATTGGCACCGTCTTTCTTTCACTGTCTTTCTTTAGTTACCTTCTTTTGGACATTGACGTTTCAGCAAATGTAATTCTATGACTGCTCGCACGTGAACACAAGTTGGAGCGACTCTCCCTGCAGCTTCCCCCCACCTGATTGCAACGTATATTAGAGTCGGTGCGACTTCAACAAGTGTGCGTAGGATTTTGGGGTACCCGAGTTGCAGGCAAACTCAAATCTGCTTCAAATGGGTTCTTTCCCCAAATGCAGGAATTTCACCCCAATTGTAGTCGCTGGCCATCATTTTCCGCTGTTTTTTTTTCTTTTTCTCTTTGGGGTATATGATATTTCTGGACCAAACCATTTCCGCAAATGTGACAAACGCGCCTGTTCTATGTGTTTTTTGAACAGTAGCTCCATGTCCATGCCCCTCCCTTCGCGATCTTCTCCAAACAAATGCTCTATTGGCACTAAACAAGCACAGAATGGAAGGAAAAATCTTCCAGTGAGCGTCAAACTTCGAAAGAAACCCATCAGCTTGCCTGTAGAACTGCAAAGCTGGCCATTTTCACTGTCACAATATATGTATGTATACGTATATATACATATGTATAGATATTTTCATCTCAATAAACAATGGAACCATGGCCAACTTAATCTTATACATTCATCAAAACGCCATTGTTTGTTCTCCAGCTCCTGCAGCAACTGCATCGCCTGGGACATTCCCGGTTTTGCATGGGAAGATCATAAATGGGTGAAGATAGAAGAGATTTGATTATATTTATATGATTGAAGATACAAGTTCGGATAGAAGCAAGAATGAGGATTACCGACTGGCATTCTAAGCTGATGGACTATCTGCCATAAACATATTCATTTGGTTTGAGTTTTTTGTCTATGAACGATTGAGATTCCTTAGTCAGCCATGTTTGATTACCGGCACAGCTCAGTTGTATCACCTGGGGTGTTTTTGCACTGCAGGGAAATCACCTCTGGCGATTTTGGACGAAACACATCTGATTTATGTATATTTCTGCAAGTAGTGAAGAGCAATGAAAGTCCATGTCCAAAACCCGGGACACCCCTAACATCCAATGTATCCAATGCTAAAAATCTCACCTTCCCTTAAAGATTGCAATTTTTCCGATCAACACCTGGATAGCGGAGTGTTTACCCCGATCATATATAGCAATACAGATTTTGAAGGGTTTTGACTTATCTTTATACATCATGATGAACTACCCTCTGGTAAACTAACGACACTATGAACAATCACAATTTTAATGGGTAAATCCACTATTTCGACTGGGCCATTTTCCAGTTCGCAAACTGTAAACGTTTACCAGGCCGGGTAAGTGTTGTTAAGTCGTTGTTTAATGTCCTGATGGATTCATGGATTTGGATCTATCAATTTTTGAATCAACCAACCATCAATTTTGGGGGAAAACTGTACCCCCAAAATGGGATCGCGGAGGTCAAACCATCCATTGAAGCATCCAAATAAGATTGTTGTATCCCCATTGTCCGAGTCAAATAGAAAACGATTCTCCTAACATCTAGCCTCTGGGAATTGAAGAATTTGCTGTGGAAAATCATCATTTTCAGTAGATAGATCATGATACATTGATACATCATCGAACTAAATGATTAAATGGGTAGCAAGCTGTTAAACCGGTAACGCATTAGTCAGTTGGACGACCAGCTCAGATTCCAGCCTGGTAACTTGAGACACCAGACAAAATAAGCCAGGTTAACATAGTTATGGATTTCAGATCACATTTTGAGATAAACCACTAAATTGCCAATAAATCATCTAGTAAATAGGTCATTTTTCATGGCTATACATGTCAAACCGAAGGGTAACCATCCGTCTTTTTTTGGGTAACCCTACTTGGAGGATGATTCTTTTCGCCAAAAAAAACATCCATTTATATGATTTTACCATGGAGGCATCCATTTATAGATGATTTATATGATTTATAGATGATTTTACCATGATAGATGCTAAAAACCAGATATTGGGGCACCATTTACCATGATAATTTTATCACCTCCAGATATTGATGCATCAATTTTGAGCCAGGCCTGGCGCCAACGTGTTGCAAGAGCTTTGAGCGCAGCGTTGAACGCGATGACATCTGCGCTGCGCGGAAGCCTGGGCCAAGCAGAGATTGAATCCCAATATAGAATCATAACATATATAGAATCATCGTATAAATATAAATATATATATATATCTAATATTGTTTATCATATATAGATACAATATATATATATATTTATACATATTTCTGTAGAGTATACCTTGTTCCCAAACCCGGTTACATTCATAGAGCACCTACCTTTGAATTTCGTGCCCTTGGGTTTGGCTAGTTCCCATTCTGGCTTTTCGTGAGGAAGCTGCAACCACTATGGTAAAACCCTAAAATAGTGGTAATGATATCTAGTGCAAAACCGTTTTAGATTGCAATAGCCAAAGACACAGATAAGTGACATCCCTTTGAGAAGAATTGAAAGAGGAGGTTTCTCTCTTTCCGTTTCTTGGAATCTATACCTATATATCTCAGATGTAGATGTATAAATGTGTGCAATTTCTCACGTAACTATCTCATCTATTAATCCATCATTATCTACCTGTATCTTTTGGTACCTATCCTTATTAATCTATTCTATCTATATGTTTCCATATTCATGTCTATCTATCTATTTTGTGAATCCATACCTATCTAAAACTATCTATGCTACTCTATATCTATCTCTACCTACAGCATCTCCGGTAAATGACTATCCCTATCTGTATCCGTCTTATCCAACTCAACTTATCTCTAACAAAATGCTATATCTTATCTCATCGTATCTGATTTCATCTCATCTAATCTACTCCATTAAGCTATCCAATTTTGGAGCACAATCTCATTTCTGTAATCTCTTTTGGATCATGTTATCTCTACAATCCAATAGCCTGCAATAAAACTAAGCTGGCTATGAAAACCACCCGCATTAAAAAGGGCAAAGCATTGAACTGAATGGGCCATTTTCCATAGCTATGTTAGTTTACAAGAGGGTACATTTATCCAACCATCTCTGTCCATCCATCTTTCTATCTCTGCCAAGTAGCAGTCCGGTCGCACAACGCCAAGCACTTCTGCGTCCTGATCAAATGGGGGAATATCCAGGTAGCTAAGATGATTCATGGTGGTTAAACACCACATCTGTGTAAACGTTTACACAAAAATACCCATCAGCACCCACGTGATATATAACGATATCATTTTAGTATCATATACCAAAAAAGGAGATCATATATTGGTACTGATGTCATAAGATAATCCCTATTGGGGCACACCAATGATGCCTCATTGCAATGGGCATAACCATATGACATTTGGGTCTATTCAACATGAGATATACCCCAAAATTGCCGTTTGTATCGGAACATGGTGATAAACCATTGGATTTTGGGGAACTTATTTCCAGAATAATATGGCATCGGGCTCTGCAAAACCAGGTCAACAGGAGGTGCAACCCATCCTCCATGGCTAATCTGAAGCAGGAGGTGTTTCTTACTTCTTGAAACCAGTGAGAACAAAAACATCGACTTGGCTAATCCGATTTGAGACCTGCATATTTTCCTTGCTGGGCGTATTCCCCATATCTTCCCATGCTTATCCCCATGCTTATCCCCATACTTTTCCACTATTTTGGCTGCTTCAAAAGCACCAAACATCCTGCGCTCGCGCCTATTGAGTTGATGGCTGCACTGGTGGCAATGAGATCTGCTAGGCGCAAATCCTCGCTGATCCATTGAAATCCGTTTAAAACGGCGCCATGTCACATAAGGTACCCCCAAATCCATGCACCAAATCAGTTTTGTCCCCAAAATTAGGTACCCCCTATGTTTTTACCGTAAGAACCTCTCAATGTGGACACACTGTTTGGGGAACACACCAACACTAAGTAAACCACCTCGACGAAGCCCTACATTAGCGCTAAACCAACCCGAAATAAAACCTAAACCAAACCTGAATATACCCTAGCCTAAATATAACTTAAACCAACCCCCTAAAGAAACCTTAAACCAAACCTGAAGAAAAACAAACCAACCTTAAAACAAATCCTGACGAAACCCAACATTAACCCTAAACCAACCCTTAAAGGACAAGGCTAAACAACCCCCAAACCAACACTAAGTCGTCAACCCTAAATAAACCCTAAAATCACACCAACCCTTAAAAAACCCTAAGCCAACCCTAACCAACCCTAAATGAACCAACCAGTCACCCCTTGCCCCCAGTGGGGCTGTGGAGGGTGACTGACTCCGACGTGGGGGGTGATTGACTCAGGGTGGTCTGACTCTGCTAGTGGGTGGCTGATTCCGTCTGGTTTCATACCTAATATATTCTGACTATATACCATAATATATCATAATATTCCATATTATGTATGTATGTGTATATATCAAATATTTTCTAACATCCCCAAAAACTGGGGTAGTCGCCATGTCATGATTGTGTCGCTGTCCTGTAAGTCTTTCAGCAGCGACAAAGCCTGCGCCCAGTGCCTTGAGGAATTTATGGCCGTACCTGGTGAAATGAAGACCTGGCGATGTATACTTTGCTGTAAAACGAGCTCTTTTATTTATGTATATAGATGTATATATATATATACACATGCATGCATGCATGCATGCATGCATGCATGCATGCATGCATTGTGTGGATGTATGTATGTATGTATGCATGCATGGATGTATCTATCTATCTATCTATCTATCCATCCATCCATCCATCCATCCAGATATATACCAATACACACCTAGTAATTCGTGGCATGGCATGCCTAAAATAGTGTACATGTCAGTATTTTCCAGTTCTCTGTAAGATAAGCGATGTCACCCGTCACTGTGGCCATGACTTTCTTGATCCAACATGTACATGTTCGAAGAAATCGTCAGCAAAATATGGAAATGTCACACGACGAACTGCGCACTGTAGGACTTCAAGATGTCCAAACTGACATTTGACATTGCCATGGCGACATGGCGTCACGTTGTGGAGTGTTTTTGCAAACGTGTTATCTTTGGTGATGATGATTTTACCGGTGCTCTTATTTGCAGCACATTTTACCAGTGGTACCATAGGGGCAACCAACAAATAGGTCTATTCCTTGATGGCACATTTCTTAAGGGTAAAATAAGGTAAATGTTGTCTGCCCAACTTGTATATAAATAACTTCAATGACAAAACATAGATCAACGTAACATAGCAGCATGCTTTTCTACAAGTGGGGGCGGAAGTGGATGGTCTTTCCTTGGCTGCACCTGAACTGGCTCGGCTCGCAAATGCATGCGGATGTTGGGGATGTAGTAGATTTAAGAAAAGCATATGGTTACATGAGACCCAAAGAACCACTTCCGCATCTTTCATCTTTTGATTTGTACACTGCAACTGGACTCACTTATTCACAAATCATTCTCCAGCGAAAAAAATCTATGTATACACATAATTACATATAATTACATATAATTATGTATATATATATAATTACATATGCCCATTTACAGCAAACAATTGAAACACTACACTACCCATCCAAGGTTCACCCAGACACCCAGCCCGGCGCTGGGCTGGCCGCACGGCTCGTGCACCACAGAGCCACCGCATTGCCATGTGGCAAAGCCGATCTCCATCTCCTGAGGATCTGGGGGATATACCGGGGATAGATTGGGGTATGTAGCTGACTAACCCCATAAAACACATCTCCATCTAATATCGTGAAAGAATATCAATCATCACCCGCTGATATTTTTTAAATGGGAAATTACAATGGCCGGATCCATGTTTGAGCTAGCGGGTGGAAAACCGCGCGTGTAGTGGTGCTACTTTTTCAATATGGGGGTTGGGTGGGGTGGTGTGGGATATCAACGTTCATGTGCCTTGCGTACACACGTGGATGCTTCGCTGCTGCTACGTCAGTGGTTAGGGGTTGGGTGGGGTGGGGTGGGATATTAAGGTTGATGTGACTTGCGTATACACGTGGATGCTTCGCTGCTGCTACGTCAGTGCTTAGGGGTTGGGTGGGGTGGGGTGGGATATTAGCGTTGATGTGCCTTGCGTACACACGCTGCTGCTACGTCATTGGTTGGGGTTTGGGTGGGGTTGGGTAATAACGTTCATGTGACTTGCTCACACACGTGATGCTACTCTGCTGCTATGTCATTGGTTGGGATTTGGGTGGGGTTGCTTTTGCCCTTTTTGAAACATGCGAATAAATATGTATTATATATATATATGATATTATTTTCTTTGTCACACGCGGTTACAATCCTTAGATGTGAATATTACGTGTCTCAGATTCACAACACGTTGAGATGTACATTGCTTCTGCACACCGGTAGCATCGATGGTATGTGGAAATTGTCCAATGGTGCAGTACCAACCTCTTGGAGCACACGTAAAGATGGTGCTGTGAACCCTCAGTTGCTTCAAGGGATTGGGATTTGGCAACGGCGATGGCACCATGGAAATTGTACAGACTTTCTCAGTCTCACCGGCCACGCTCTGAGCAAACCCTTGGAGAAGTAAGACGCCCAAAGAACAGGGAAACAGCGACCACCCCGCCAGCAGCACAAAACACTGTAAATACCACGACATTCCTTCAAAGTCATCGAATTTTCCCCGGGAAAATTTAAGGTAATGTTTTTCATAAAATGTGCATGGCGCCACAGCGCCAGAAGAGTTTGTTTTCAAAAAGTGCTTAACCGCTAGCGCGGTTTCCCACCCGCCGGGATGTTTGAGGAAGCCTCAGAACAGAATGGAAAGTCTCACATGTCCAACATACGGGAGACCGGTAATTTCTTACACTTTGTGATGGAAAATGGCCATTGAAGTTCCCTGATTTAGCTATTTGATAGCTATTTATAGATTATTTGCTTGTGAAATTTTCACACACGGAGATAGTCCATGGGACATGTAACTTAACGGCCTCATGTGTCAATGGGGAATACCACCCCGAGATGGCGATTTGAAAAATGATGGAGTGAGTAACAGTTGGGATGATGACATTCCCAACTGAATGGAAAGTCATAAACTATTCCATGGTTCCACTATTGATTATTCTATCCTATTATATAGCATTCAAAACACCATTGTATCCCATTATTCCCAATATATGGGAAAGTCAAAAAATGCATGTTCCAGTCACCACCAACCAGTCATCTGTTTTGTTAAAGGCCCTGGTATCATCTGTGACCCAAAAAATGAGCATTTCATGAGCAGACCAAGCGGTACATCACATCCGCAGAGAGTCCAAGATTCCCAAGCTTGATTCAGTACCCTTTGGTAAACTAACATAACTATGGAAAATCACCATTTTCAATGGGTAAATCCACTATAAATGGCCATTTTCAATAGCTATGTTAGTTTACCAGAGGGTAGACTCTTCTTTGCCAAGAGATCATCAAGTTTCATGAAAATCTGATCCACTCTTGCACATGGGTATAGGTGAAAATACCATCCATTTTCAGACACATCCATTTTTGGGTTTTGCACCGACATGGAAATCGGGTGATTTTGGGATGTTTCCCCCAATCCATCATCTACTGTGACGTCGCTGTGACGTCGTTCTGCTTTATCCAGAATCAATGGATATATCCCCATAGTTGTTACCCTCTGGTAAACAAACGGAACTATGGAAAATCAGAATTTTTAATGGGAAAAACTATAAATCACCATTTTCGATAATTAGCTATGTTAAATTACCAGAGGGTACTTCATTCCCCATTTATATTCCATATGATACACCCATAATCTCTAATTGAATCCCCAGCTTATCATTGTGGATCCCTCTTGTCATATACATATGGCAAATCCCATAACATCCCGCAGTTTCTGGCATTACCCTCTGGTAAACTAACATAGCTATGGAAAATGGCCCATTTATAGATGGTTTACCTATTAAACATTGTGATTTTCTACAGCTATGTTAGTTTACCAAAGGGTAGCGTTTCCAAACGTGAAACCCTAATTATACTACCCTCTGGCAATTTTGGCAGATTGCTATGGAACATCAGCATTTTCCATGGGTAAATCATGAAACAATATTGGCAATAGGCACCTCTCCACCATAGATCTGGAGCTCGGGGTCATAGCCTCCACATGTGGAAAATGTGGAAAATCTCAAAATAAAATGCAGATCTTAAGCAAATAATTGGGATTTCACAATCCAACGTTGGGAATTGAACTAGCAATAATGGTGAATTTAAGCAACAATGTGGCTTCAATGGGTTGAAGTTGTGGAGCATTTAGAGGAAATCGTGGGTTCTGACATCAAATTCGTTGTGGTGAACCCTGCAAAGTTTCCCTCCACTTGCAGACCCATAGTTACCCAATCGAGTTGCGATCCTATTGAACACATGTTCATTTTGTTTACTTATGTTTATCTCTTGATTACATGATATGGCCATGGTTGCATGAAGTCCTCATGAAGTCCTCATGATTTCATGGCCATTCCAAGTTTCGTCGGATGGCATTCCTTACCAAAGCGGCGCCTCCCAAATGCAAGAACCAGGAGCGGTCCTGCGATCTGTCTCGCAGAACTGACAGGCCATTTCTAATCGGAAAGTCATAAAGTGAATCACAAATTTCTAAGGTGGCAACATGAAACCTGCAATCTGTATCTGGTTGGTGGTTGACCGTCAACCCCTCTGAAAAATGATGGAGTGAGTAACAGTTGGGATGATGACATTCCCAACTGAATGGAAATTCATAAAAATTCCTTGGTTCCATTATTGATTATTATATCCTATTATATCCCATTCAAAACACCATTATATCCCATTATTCCCAATATATGGGAAAGTCAAAAAACTCATGTTCCAAACCACCAACCAGGTATACTTCATGCTATAGGATGCTGGTCATGTCACGTGTCAGCTGAGTATTGCCTTGCAAGTTGAGTTGGCAGAAAGTATTGCTTGGCGATTACCATCCCCTGAACAATGTGTATGAGTTGGATGAAGCATCTGACAAGGATGGACTAATGTACATTAAATATAATATAGACTTATAGATACTTATATCATCCCTATCTTCCCTCCAACCAACCATCAAAATCGCCCATTTGAAGAGGAAGGTTTTTGCCTTTTGCCTCCTTCAAAATGGCTATCAACTGCGGTATCCTCAATTTTCAGAATCAAACACATCCCAGTATCAGAAGAATCAAGTTGGTTGCACATATCACATTAAACATATTCCCATGAATGGTTGGTTGGTTGTTTCCCTATCCCCAATATCAGTTGGATATATATCCGACGAAACATTCCCATCATCTTCTCAAGAATGTATTGCTGGTAGTGGTTCTATCCCCATGAAACATACCAAAATGAATCAAGTTGCTTCAAACTCCCACTATGTTCCCATTCTATCCTTATATACTTGGAAAGCCATGGGTATACTCCTGAGGTTTTGATTTTCTACCTTTATTGTTGGTCATAAGTTATATCCCCATGACATGAATTTCTGCTTGAAAGCCATCCGTCATCGCCGCTCCACTGCAAAGAGACCGCCACAAAGAACCGAAGATGTGGCCATCGTGTCCTAGAACTAGACCAATGTTGAAGCCCAAACTGAGGATTTCACTTGGATGAGTTGCAAACTAAAATTCAAGGATACAAACATGTCAAAAAAATAGCAACTAAAAAGTATAGCAGTACAATAGCAACTAATCCAAGTTAAATGCTAGTATAATTGGCAACTTTTGAAACATATCTAAAAAGATCTAAAAAGTACAAAGATTTCTCAGACTTGGATCCAAATCATGTGGGTATGGGAATACCAAGAATGGGGATACACAATTTGGGTCTTCCGCGATTCCAAAAGCATGTTTTGCAACCAATGGGTATCTAATGGGAATCCAACCAACAACATGGGGATATCTTGAAAAAATCACAGGATGTTCACCAACCAATTGATATTGTTTGAAAGTGGAGCTTACCCCAGATCAATCTTCCAAGTCATGAGACCAGGCTAGTAATTCTAGAAACATGTGTGGTTTTTGGGATCACCCATTTTGAGAAACACCCAGGTGAAAAAAAGATATGAGAAGCAAAACATCATTCCAGAGCTAATTTGAACTTGGATTCCAGAGCTAAGGCTTTGGTAAATCACATCACAGCTTCGAGCAACCTTTGGAGAACCTCAGAACTCAAAAGCAATGAGCAATCATCGACCGAGACCACCCGAGACCCGGTTTTGCAGATGCTGCTGCCTCACCCTCTGGTCGTTCACGAGGTTTTTGATTCAGCAACCAGTTGAAACCTCGAATTGCCAATGGATAGTAGGAAAAAACACGGGATGGGTACTCAAGCACACAAGCATGCTCAACTGCTTGACTGGAAGTTAAGGTTGCGTCTGCCCTTACTTGGGTTATTAGATGTCATAAGTCATGAGTCATTTGGCAAAGCGGACACAATTCAAGTGGCTTTACCTGTAAAATGCTTAAGGAACTAATGCAAAATCTGGACGCCTTGAGACCGATCAAAGAATCAATAATCAGTGCGTTGCAGTTGGTACCCTCCGGTAATCAAATGTGGCGGAATATTCTCCATTTTATAGATGATTTTCCGAGTAAAACATCGATTTATAGGGGATTTTCACAATGGCCGGCTGGCTGAAATAGGCACCGACGAGAAGCTGACCAGGCCCAATCCATAGACCTCATACTTGAAGTCCTGGCACTCTGATGGCTTCCACAGGATGGTGCCCCATAGTCAAGTTGGTTTATATGTCCACTAACTGTTGGATTTTTGTTGCTTGTAAACCAACAAAGATAACCAAGTTGGTGAAGATAGGTCCAAGAACGTTTGGGTTGACTAGGGGGTGATATCGAACTAGTTGTTGGGGATTATAAACATTCATAAACCAACAAACATAACTCGGGGGGGTACCACCCTGCAGGTGATATAAAGCGCAATTTCTTGGCATTTGAGTGGGATAAAGGGAGGCACAACCCATTTGTCTTGTTCTTTTGGCATCCACATTTGTCAAAGATTCGATCAAGATGAGGAACTCATGACACTCTATCCGTCAAGATAGAATATCTAAGTTTTTACAAGGGCACATACCTTGGAAATGGATCAAGCAATGGAGCATTTGGGTGCATTTGCCCCAAAGACTCCTCTGCAAGCCTGGAACATGTACCATCTTGACAGCCTCCAAAATGACGAAACCTTTCCAACATGATCCCAGAACATCCCCACTATATAAAGGGTTAGTAAAAGAGTATATAACAATATCACCATCCTATAACCCAATATAGTTCAAAATATGGATTTCAACATCCTATAATTATCTATATAGGATTTATAATCCAAGTATTCAAAAGTTCAAAATCCTATCATCAAATACCAGGGATGGCGTTTGAAGCACCTCGGTGTCGATGCCATCAATGCTGGGTACCACAACTCTGGTGCGGTCCTGAACCAAACTCTTGGGGACAGTTTGATATTGGAAGGATCTAGATATAGTCAGCTATATCTAGGTATATCAAGGTATATCCAAGTAATTCAAGGAAATCTCTAGCTATATCTTGGTTTTTTTTCTAGATATTTTTCTATTACATTCATGTCAACCACTGACATTTCTTTTTGTCATCTATCAACCATGGAAGATGGACGACCCGTATTCACCACAGGATTGTGCGCGCCTCGGTGATGCGCCACAGCAACGGTTCCAACCAACCGGGAGTTGTCTGCGGGTCGCGCCGCGCAAATTTGGGAGGGGTGGGGAACCCCCTCTGGTTATGACTGTTACATAGCCATGGTTAAGCCATGGCCCTAATCGAAATAGATGGTTTACCGAACTTCAACATGGGTGGATGTTCCATGGCGAACTGTTAGTCATAACCAGATGGTTGGCTGAACATTGTGCTTTTTGGGCATCGACCATTTGTCGGAACTACCGAAAATAATGGTAATTCTGAGTAATTCTTGGCTTTGTGAAAAAACGTCTGCGTTCAAACATCTCTAAAACTAGATTTCAATCGACTCGTTTTGGACACTTGCAACATGCTTGAACCCATCTTGCATCTGGAGAGGAGCAACCAATGACTGATTTTTTCTGTGTAGATATCACCTCTTGAATGGAAGCAGCCGCGATAACTGCTTGAGGATGAGGATTCACTCACTATACTCACTTGTCTTTGGGAGGCAAAATCTTAAGATATCCCCGAAATCCTACACTTTTGTTGGAACCCAGATGAACCACAACTGGACTCCATTGCAGTTCATTGTAGTCATACCTCCATCACAAGCCCGAGTAGCTTCGATTCTGAAAATTCTGGAGTTACCTCCCACCTTCTGCCATGTCCATAGGGAACATAGGGAACACATGGGAACATTCTCTTTTAACTTACTGGTGCTGAACGCAGGGAATGAGGGAATTTTCGGGAATGATGCCAGTCATCACTAATAATTTCGTCATCCCAGCAACCCCCAGCAACTCCCAGCAACTCATCAATTCCCTACGTTTAGCACCAGTAAGTTAAACCATGACATGGACATTTTCCCATCATTTTCCGGTACCAAGTGGTTACAAAAAACCCCACTGGCTGATGGCCTCGATGTGGCTGTCCAAACACACCACCACCTCACCACGTGCTCGCCAAATGCCTGGAGGAACTTACCCAAGGACTTCCCGCCAGACTTAGGGGTGCCAAAACACATCTAGAAACCATACCCCAATTGTGGAATTAATTTGGGCCTCAATTTCGACATAACACATCTAGCATACCAATGGTGTGCTTGTTTTTACCACACAAAAAAACATCATTTTCAGGTCCAAATATCAGATCAAACTGAAAAAAATCCCATGACATACCTCCATTTTCTACCCATATCCGCACGGCTGACCAGCCGGGTCGGGCCTTCCATCCTGGCTTTCATCAACCCCCTTCGTGCCTCAGGTCTTTCACCCTAAGGAATGACACATTGGACCCAGAAACCACATTATGCATGGAATATGATGTAATGTGTCATAATATACCAGAAACCACATTATATCATACCCAGAAACCACATTGTAATATGATATTTTTTATGATGTAATGTGTTCTTTTTTGTATGAGCAATCAGATTTTCACCCAGCTCGTGGGTTGACTCTCGAAATCGGAAATCGCAGCAGCATTCCGAATGAACAAGTATCACAGTATCACCAAGAATGCAACACATCCCAAGGTTGACATTTCCTTTTTTTTCTGTGTTTCAACATGTTTTAACCCCCATTTTCGGTTGGTAAACGCAGCAATTTCCGTGTTTTAAACCCCAAAAAATGGGCCAACAAAAAAATGACAGCCATCAGATTTTTATGCCAGGCCGCTCGAAGGCGAATCAAAGAGACCTGCGGTTTTGTGGATGACCATCCCAAATAAAGGGTATGATTGCCAAAACACATCATCAAACAACATTTATCAATCAGATGGGCAGATTTATGCTGGTTAAAACATGTTAAAACCTCAAAAAAAATGTCATAGATGATGCAGAAAAATCCCAGTAAATCCACCATTTTTTTTTGTGGTTCAATCCAATGAAAAATCACCATTGTTCTTGGTGAAATCACAAAAAAGATCACTAGAGTTTTTCTGCGTTTGATTCCCCAAAAACCCATGTTTCAAAACATCAACAGGGACCAGCCCATCGAAAAAACAGCGCTACCGCTTCAACGAAGGGCACCTTTGGCAGGTCAATCAGAAGCTCCTCCAGCTCACCTTGTAAACCTTGAGATTCGGGAGCGAGCTGGGACCACGAAGTGCTTCAGAATGGATATGAACTATAGTACCCTCTGGTAATTTAACATATTGAAAATGGCATTTTCTAATGGGAAAATCAACTATAAATGGCCATTTTCAATAGCTATGTTAAATTACCAGAGGGTAAGTGGAAAAACTATAGTTAAGTGAACTATTATATTCATCTATTCATCATATGAATCCTTATTGGGATAGTGTATTTCTATTACTTAGCGGGATATTGATTTAAACATAGTCATCATGGAAAAACATATGGTTATTTCAAATGTTCTGGTAAATTCACAGTTTGATCCTGATTTTATAGGCCATTTTAAGTGGACACTAATCTTCCAACCCCGACGACTGCCAGGGTTTATGTTAATTTACCAGAGGATAGTATTACGAATAGTTACAACTACTATTGTTCATCATGGATAGATATAAAACTATTAACTATAAATATAACTCTAACTATTATTACGAACTAATGGTTAATAGGCTAGTCATTGCAATAAATGGTTAATCATGGCTAACAATCCCTTCCCTCATTCATATTAATAATATCATATTTGTAGTACTATTACTTACTGGGATATACGTATAACTATCAACTAATTGGGCTATTCATCATACACATATTATATTCATCATATGAATCATATGAACCCTTATTGGGACAGTGTATTTCTATTACTTAGTGGGATATTGATTTAATGAACATATAATAGACATACTATTTCATCCTATGACATATTCTATTACTTTATCATAGGATAAAATAGTATGTCATATCAAAACATTTCAAAATATTGGATATATTGGATATTACATTTAATGAATCATATATTGGATATTGATATTTCATAGGATTTAAACATCGAAAAATCATGGCTCGGCTCGGATCGACCATGGGATTTCTCTGGGGGTGAATCTCAAGCAACATTAGAAACTGGGCCTCACCTTGGATGCTGAAGTAAAACCCTAATTTTTGTTTGGTAATGAACATCATAAAAGATAACGTAAAGTAAAAACCTTTTTGACATAATTTATAACACTAAAGTCAAGAATGATAAAACCCTAGAGAAGTAAAACCCTACACTTTAGTGTAGTGAAACATCACTTTTATGATCTTTTATATCTTTCAGAGGGCAGGGGGGGGTGCTTGTTTCCTCTTCGAAGCGCTACCCGGTGCGAAGTCGTTTGGGGGAATCATCCCCAAACGACTTTGCAAGCCCCAATTTTTCACAAGGGGGGTCATGACAAAGGAACGAGGGGGTTCAGCAAGGACACAAGGGTTTACCCTCTGGTAAACTAACATAGCTATGGAAAATCACAATTTTTCATGGGCAAATCCACTATAAATGGCCATTTTCAATAGCTATGTTAAATTACCAGAGGGTTACTGATGATCTGATATGGATGATCTGGGAAGAAAAGATGGGAATCGACAGACGGAAATCCTGGAAACGGTCAACCATGCCCCAAAAATGGATGGTTTATGCATGGAGAGTCATCGAAAAAATGACAAACATGTCCAGCTTCGGAAGTATGATTCACTGGGGCAGAAAAACTCACCACGTAGGACAATCGGAACAAAGGTCAGCCAGTGCCATGAAGAAACCAACTTCATGTGGGAAACCTGCCATAAACCTACCATGACTGGGGATGGTTTGTAGCACCCATAAACATTTGTGATTTTGGGATGGTTGATGGCATTGGGTGAATCTCACATTAGCTGGTACAGACATGTACAGACAAGAAGTGACTGATCGTTTCCAACATATTGTGATGTTCATGTTCCAAGGTATGTCGGTGACATCATCAACTGTGGCAACATACCACCAGCCAAGATGCGACTATATGTAGCAAGGTCAAGAGTTGGATTTCTATAACCACATTGTGCGATTTGAATCCATTTTCATAGGGATGCCTATACCCACAAGGATTCCAAATGGGATGGATGACCATAAACATCCATGGTTTCCATGTAGCTTCGACCATGGCACATCTGCCAAGACTCCAGTGATTTCGCGAAAGTCTAGTCATGGACACGTCGGGATAAGAACATGAATGCCCAAAGTTTGGTAAATCGGAATGCCATTGACCATCATCCAAATGAATATCCCATTAAATCCTGTTAAATTTCATGAACACATCCATAAAATCCCTATTCCTATGAAATCCCCATAGAATCCCCATAAATTCTCCATCAAATCCCTATAAACAAAGCCATAAAATCCCTATAAGATCCTCATCAAATCCCCCGTTTTTCAGTTCCGAGCGTCGCTTCCACTGTCGCTCTGAGAACTTCTTGGTCTCGGGACGGCTATCATCATCCACCAGCAGCACCTCGATGCATACCGGCATACCATAAGAAAAACACATATGTTTGAGCTAAGTATCAAAACACTACATATATATATATGAGTATATAGTACTACTACGTATCTATATCTATATCTATATATAAAACTATATATGTATATAATATCACCCCAAAAGATTGGAACACGAAATTGTTCATCCAAGTTTCATCCAGTCATGACGACTGCTGTTGCAAGATGAGGGGCGATCAACAAAATCGCCTGTTTCCAACATATTGTGGATACCAAATATCTGTGGCAAACTTGTGTCACATTTTTTCGAAACGAACTCACATTTGCACACATACCTTCAGCCGCAAGCACAGCCGCTGCTTTTTCGCCATGGCACAGCAGAACCGCATTGCGTTAGAACTACCGTAGCTAGCGAGATGTTGTACTTGGATGGTCAGGTTGGAGATATCTTGGCGCCCTGATCGTTTGACACATTGAGAAACTGGCAGGATGCGGCCCTGGTGATGAGTCTTGGTTCTGAGGCAGAGATAGAACATCGCTCTGTGCCTTTTCAACAAGGTGCATGGAAGTCTCAAGCGAAAATGACAGTAGACTCTTCTGAACTTTTATAACCATCTATACCCTCTGGTAAACTTTTACATAACTATGGAACATCACCATTTTCAATGGGTAAATCCACTATAAATCACCATTTTCAATATTTTTCAATAGCTATTTGACATAACCAGAGGGTATACTTCGATTCTCAAGGTCAGCGCCAAGCCTAACCACAATCATCCAAGCAGTTCTGACCTGGAAGTCGGCTCAAAGGTCCTTAAGCGCTCCGACCATTTCTCCGAGTTGGGACGCCTGTCCGGGACAGTCTTCGATTCGGAGATGGCAGGGCAGCATAGATTGATAGATTTAATGGGTTTACTATGGGGATAATGATGGTTAATATGGTTACTATGGGGATAATGATGGGTTTACTATGGGTTTAATGCATAGTTTACTATGGTTTAACATGCTTTTATGGGGATGATCATGGGATAATGATGGGATAATGATGGGATATTGATGGATATACCCTCTGGTTATGACTAACATAGCCATGGTATAGATGGCCCATAGAAATAGATGGTTTACCTATTAAAAATGGGTGGATCTTTCCATGGCTATGTTAAATAACCAGATGGTACTGTATATATATATAACGATCTATTGGTTGTTTATATCAATATCTGCAATGTATAGGAATAAATTGGAATATCATGAAGGATTATTATACATGTTATATGTGTATATCTTTCAAGACCAGCTTTTGCTTTTCATTCACAACAATATCCCTCAAGACAAACACATACGGCTGCATACGTGTGTCCGCATTTGCACGCATGGATCTAGACTCCAGATGCTGATAACAACATAACATACTGATAATCAACTAGTATAGTAACCCCAAGAGATAGAACCGTATAATGAACCGCACTTTTCTAGTCTGAAATCTCACTTTCTGATTCTTTCTGAGGGTTAGACGATTAAACAACCAGCATCACCATCACTTGTAAGGTTTTGGTGGCTTGTTGTCTTTACCACATGTGCAATGGTCAAAAAATGGCCTATTGCAGTCTATCATGGCATACTGTAGTTTATGGTCATCCATCCAGATAGTGGTTTATTGTTGAGTTGTTCTTTTAACCCACATCCACATGACATTCGTTTTATTGACAGCAGAACGTACCGTAACACAAAAACCCTCTGAAAAATCACTGTTTCCGAATTTTAGATGGCCGCCCCGCCCTCCCCAGTTATAAACTAGTAACTAGTGTATTTAAGCACCAATCGAACGATATAACTGTGTATTTCTTTACACTTTTACCTAGTAAAACAGGCTTAACAATATTGTTATTCGAAGTTATATTGTTTATGAATTTGTTTACTGGTGGGCTAATGAAAAGACCAATTTTATAAGTCCTTTGTGAAAAGTGTAGCAGGCAGCTATTTCCATTCCGAGATGCTGTTGATGCGGCACGTCCTGCAGGTCAAATCCAGTACTTTTCCGGCAATTTCTGGCAGATCTTCACCGAAAACTGGGAAACTGGCGGCTTTTCCCCAGATTTTGGGGTTTCCAGGTCAATTTTGTGACCAAAAATACAATATAGAATACATATAATATAGACTATGTAATATATTATATACTATATAATATTTGATACATAATATACAATATTGTTAACAATTTTGGGGTTTCTTTACCGAACATGTCCTAAAAACCCATGATTTGTCCAGGTGACATCGCATGAAATATCCCCTGCCCAGCGCAAGGTCTCCCCCGGTCCTGCGCTTGTTCAACACATTCCAGGATGGCTGCGATGGATGCAGCCCCAACCTGGTGGCAACCCCGGGATAGCCACGGATGTTTTCATGCCTCGAAAAATTGGGATGTTACCCGGCCTGGTAAACATACAAAAAACTATGGAAAATCAACATGTTTAGTGGGAAAATTCACTATAAATGGCCATTTTCAATAGCAAACTGTTAAATTACCAGAGGGTAACAAATCTATGCTTGGCCATGCAATGTTGTACACACTAATAGATATGATTTATGATATCAATTGGATCCAATGTTTATATTCAATAAATCATCCCTTAATTAATTAGCCAATTGTTTTCGTACCCTTTTTAACATCCAGTTTTGACAACAGCTATTAGATAATATTAGACAATATTATACCATCCCAGTACCACATGAATAATCATAATCAATATTAAAAAACAATTGGAATAATATTGTATTATATAAGATTGATACTGTATAATATCATTGGCGCACTATACGGATGGTATGGATGAACCATTCCCAACCGGAAGTTTATTATTCTGTTACCGTGTCAACCACTGAGGTTTGTCTGATAATTGGCTACCCCACCCCATGGTTGATCGTCACTTTCACAACGGAAAATTGCCATACAGGATGGGGCCCCATAGTTCGCTAAGTTGGTTTATAACTATGGTGTATTGGTGTATGCTACTTATAACTATATTTAGATGGGGTTATAAACCAACAAACATAACTGGCGGGGCCCATCCTGTATCCACCACTTTTGGACAAGCCTGCGTAGGAAACCATGGGTTTTTAAAATGATATACTTTTACCATTCTACCCTTTTCCCACATGCGCATGACACCCAAAAATCATTGCTGAAATTCTAATTTCTGCTGGTTGAGATATCCCCTGTTTAACAGCTTCCAGTCACTTCAGTTCGCATTTTTAGTCTTCGAATCCACATTCTTGTAGGTCAAATCATCATTTTTGATGGTCATTATGACATTTTTTCTCGGTTTGCTCCGCATTTTTGCGCCTCAGCCAACCGTTTTGCTGGATACTTGGGGGTGCATCACAGTTTGTGGGTGACACCTATATTATAACCCATTTCATATATTGAATATCTTGGAGTATCTCCAGTTCAGTGATGGTGTACATCTAGGATATTTTCACCGCTTGTGAAAACCCATCCGACCAGACCTCAGAGGTACACGTTTGAGCTTCTCTGACCGAACGAGAGAAGGTCCTGAGGAAAACCAGAGTATAATGTTAGTAGATATGGGTTGAATTATATCCACCATTAGTTGATGATTTATATCCACCAGAGTATCCACCATCCCCAATTTTACAACTCTCACATGGGTGGTAAAAAAAATCAATTCATCAACCCATATGGTTTATGAGTTGACATGACTTTGCTTGGCCACCAACATTTCTGGTAGAACATACGAATACACAGCCAATATGAATATTGATATGAACATTAATATTGATATACGTAGAATTACAGAATACACAAACATATTAATATATATATATATACAGTATATACCCTCTGGTAATTTAACATAGCCATGGAAAATGACCCATAGAAATAGATGGTTTACCGTTCTTAAAAATGGGTGGATCTTTCCATGGCTATGTAAACGTTTACCAGAGGGTACATACACATACTCTGCTTCAAGCATAACTGGAAACTCCGCTCGATCCTCAGAGTGCCAAGCAAATCTCATCTTCAGAGGATCATCATTTTGTCAAGTCAAGGTTTACATACCAAAAACTGCCCCGACATCTCGCTATCTAAATGATTTACTGTATACCCCATCTTGTTGCTGATATCATATACCCTCTGGTAAACTAACATCACTATGGAAAATCACCACTTTTAATGGGAAAACTCACTATAAATTGCCATTTTCAATAGCTATGTTAGTTTACCAGAGGGTATATAGCCATCAAAATATCCCGTTCTGCTGAGATCCCCAATATTGACAACTTTGGATTAAAAAACAGATCTATGTTTGTCCCAATTTTCCATCAGCACAGACATGTCCGTTTGGACATTCACATTGGTCTCTCTGTTTGCACTATTTGTTGGTCAACCCATGTAAGACATCCATGTTTGATGGTTCAACCCAACTTTTTTGTCATGGTCAGACCGACATTTCTGAAGTTTAAGACCCAACTTTGACATACTTTCACTGGTTGGTGGTGCAATAACCATCTTGAAAAATATGAAATCTTGAAAAATAATGGAGTTCATCAATGGGAAGGATCACATCCCATATATGAAATGGAAAATAAAAACATGTTCCAAACCACCAACCAGTTGACATACTTTCGGTACATCTCCATGGGTACATCTCCATGGCCCGATTTGCTCCTGGGTTGCTCATCATCGCCCAGTGAAACCCGCCGATTCGTTTTGGCCGATGCACCTGGCGCTTGACGGAACGCGACGCGCCCCCGTGACCCGGCCTGGTGCTGGTGAACGTGGATTTTCCACATTCCAAATGGTGGATCTTTCCATTGTTTTTTGTATGTTTACCAGAGGGTAAACCTCCATTTTCCTATGGTTTTCCTATGGTTAACGGTTATACCACTATAATCCCAGTTTACCAGAGGGTAAATCAACTACAAACCGGGCTTTAAATGGCCCATGGCTAAATGGAACATCGCAATTCGAAATAGCTAAATCATCGGCTTTAAATGGCATAAATGGCCCATGGCTTCCAGTTCGCCATCTTACATATTGTTAAAATATTGTTAAATAACCACAGGGTCATGCTCAATGTTGGTGTCAATGTAAATGTTTCTGTTCATGCTGATCTTAATCATGATTGTCATCTCAAATGCAGTTTCAATAAAATGTGATGCAATGCAATGTGTTCGAATGGGTGTGTCAACCACTGCATAGACAGACTCACAGCTGTCATAGGCAAATCATGGGCGTTGTGCCAAAACAGTGCTAGTTACATAGTTAGATCCCAATGTTTGTTGGTCACATATCCATTTCTATTGATTAGAATTACACATAGAATGTGGGGCCCCCAAGATAGCTAAGTTGGTTTATAACTCCAATAACTATGGTTTATGGTGCTTATAACTATAGTATTCATGGGGTTTATAAACCAACTTATAACACTGGGGGGCCCCACATTGTAGATGTAAATGGGAATCACCCAGTCCCTACTGCTGTTGAGTCAACTTCTACAGATTCCTTTTCCATTCTCGGTTGGTTGTCCCACAATTATCCTCTCGTGATTAAGCCCAGCAATAGAGCTCCCCATTTCGAGTAGTACCCGCCCCAAGGGACACAGATGCACTTCACCAATGTTCCTCTGGCAACTACCCTCTGGTTATTTAACATAGACATGGAAAATGGCCCATTTATAGATGGTTTACCTATTAAAAATGGGTGGATCTTTCCATGGCTATGTTAAATAACCAGATGGTAAGGAGTTTATTTTTCTTCAAACAAGCGCTTTGAGATGCGCAGCACATGAGGAAGGGCTGATGGAAGGGTGAAAGGAAAGACTGAACAAAATGTCCCAAAGTTCCTGTGATTGAGGAAAATGTAGTCTGTGGATGCTTGATTTCCGGCCTTTTTTGATCACCAAAGGTTGTAAGCATCATAATTTGTTGCTTTGGGTTGACTTTTGCCAGTGAACTGATCAAACATGAATATCATGATCAATCTTGCCCCACGACAACTCACATTTTGCCCGATAAAAAAAAACAATGATCGCCATGAAAATTGCAATCTTTTGGATTCTTTTTGGGGATGACCCATTGCTATCCCAATCATATCTCGATCTCTCCAGCGCTCAGCAATTCGCCCTGACAACCTGCATCCACCACCAATGGTTTCAGTATCTCGGGGCGGCTTGTGGGCCTTGGCGGGGTAGCCCCAAAATGGGGATACCCTAACATATTGCAACTTTTTGTTTGGGAAACTTGGGAAACATGATGATGATTTTGACATAACCATGGGATGTATGTCTTTTTTCCCAATCTTTGAGACAACCCTATTCAAACAGCAAATTATTTGTTTGCCCTAAATTAAATGGGATGGTTTACTAGTACAATGGATCAACATTTGTGGTCCCCTGAGCACTATATTTTGACACCCAAGGTCGTTTTCCAGACATGAAGAAACTTCAATACCTTCACTTTTCCCAGAATTCGGGTAGCCCTAAACCATTGGTTTCTGCATTCAACATGTTTTTTTTTTGATGTTTTTGGGGTACGCCATAGGACCACCCTGACCGCGGTGTGCGTTGTGCTGAGTTCCTCGGCCCGAAGCTGGTGCTTGGCAAGCCATGTGCTCCCAAACCATTCGGAGTTGCAGACAATGCCCGTCCGGGTAGAGCACCTGGACCGCAGATGGTTGGTTTTTGTACAGAAAATTTGCATTTTTTTAAAGATCTTTTGGTTTTGTGTCTGAGTTTTTCCGATTTTGCTTGATACTTGGTTTGATATTTTGTTTCAAACCCGCTTGCTACTTTTTTTTGGTATTTTTTTGGTGTAGTCATAGATCTTGAGACTCTGAGACAATGCAAAGTCCAGGGCCTATGAATAGTACTAGAGACACAACTGACGAGCAGACATGTGTCATGCATGCTCATTGTATTTGTCGCCATCTGCCCAGTCTTGAGACGCAGAGATTTCTACAACAAACAAGGAATGGACATGGTGATATTTTGACTTTAATGTTTAGACATTTACAAAGCCAACCAGCCAATAAAACATCCTTCCCTTAGTTGCTGGCGGCGCTGCTCAAACACCACATTGTGGGATCCCTCATTTGCGTCGACATGGCATCATCTATGGTTCTCTTCCTCATTATCGGGTAGGGAACGCAGCTGAATCAGTTTACCATACCATACAGTGGACTTCTAGATGATGTTCTTATCTTCATATCCAAAATTGGGACTTCCCAGCCATCCATCTTTGACTCCCAAAGGATAGCAACCATCTCATTGCAAGCCAAATCACCATCTTCTTTCAGCTGAGGTACCATTTTTTTGCCGGACTTCTACCCCCAGTTCTGATGGTAAACATGGGTAAACCCTGCAACTTTTGGTGTTGAGCTTCCAAATTTTGCAGCTTGAAACCGAAAAAAAAGGATGGCAAAAACCGTAAACCCATCATTTTTGCAAGTTCAAGGTCAAACATAAACACCATGCAAACAGCTTCAAACATTGGTTGAACATCGCTTAAAAAGGTGGTGGCACCTTGGCTCCGCGGCACGGTCATGCCCATGGTTTGCTCCAGGTTGTCGACATCGATCCTGGAGACACCAATTCGAAGTGGCTTGGACATCCCAACTTTACATGGGAAAATATGGTAAAATATGGGAAATCATCTATAAATGGAGGTTTAGAGCTGGGGAACTCATCTATAAATGGAGGTTTATAGCTGGGGAACTCATCTATAAATGGAGGTTTAGAGCTTTGAAACTCATCTAGAGTGTGGACATTTTCCAGCCAGAAAAAGGTTTGATGAGCGCAGAGTGTTTACCCAAGCATTAACACCCCTAGCCTCGGGTAATGACTAACAATTTGCGAACGGGAAACCTAGATGGTTCGATGATTTTTCAGTGGTGATTCTCCTGTTAAATTACCAAAGCTGGTTGGTGGTGTACCTACCCCTCTGAAAAATATGAGTTCGTCAGTTGGGATGATGAAATTCCCAATAGATGGAACAATAAACAATGTTCCAAACCACCAACCAGAAAGGGAATTTGGAGTATAGTTCTTGCTTTTTTAAACACCAGTATGATCCAAAAAATCCAGATCATATGGAGGGAAACCCAATCCATGGTACCCCAAATCATCCAAGTCATTCAACAATTTTAGTAGTGAAACCCATGGTGACTTGGGGATCCACCATTTTGAGAAACTCCCTATGTTGGAATTACCAGGTTGAATTACCATATCATTTTGTAACGCCAGTGCCGCATATCCAATGGCTCCCAGATACACAGCAGCCACGTCACAGAACATAGCCCAAAATACATGGTCTACTTCGAAAAACAACTTGATAATTTTCCTGGGGATACTTCCTTTGATAATCATGTGAACTAACAGAAACATACAAAAACCACTTTTTGTCATTGGCAAAAGCCCACTAGCCGGTAGCAACATGCCGCTGGGGATATCGTCTCCTCCCTGGGAAAAAAATGTAACTCCCGAAAGGAACATGAATCGCACTGGCCCAGCTATCATCAAATATATATGTACTGTATATTCTTATATGTTAGCTCAGCATTTTGCGGATAAGTCTGTATGATATAATGTTGTGTAATACTATGCGATTTTTCGTAGTGAGAACAATAATGTAAATATCAAATTAATGTGGGTAAAACAATAATAAACCATCCCCCAGTCATCACCATTTTTATAGGTGGTATGTTTACCATTCCCAGTCATGGCTGGTTTATGACATTGTTTTAACCAAATTATAATCAATTAAAATGGTGATTTACCCATGAAACATGGTGATTTTCGTGATTTCGCATAGTTATGTTAGTTTACCAGAGGGTACATGTTTAATCATATTTATACATTTAACCATGTTATAACCATGGTAAACCCGACAGATCTGCTTCCCCAAGATCTACTCTGACAGGATATCGCCGAGCGTTTCCACTCCGCCGGCCTCTGCAATGCTGGCCTGGATCCTGCCGAGGTGTTTCATAGGGAGCAGTTGGCGTTACAAATGGGTATAACTATGGTCATCAAGCCCATAAGTTGATATAAGCCCTATAACTATAACATAGCTCTATCCATGTATATATATATATGTACACAGTATATATATATATACAGTATATATATATATATATCCATTTATAAGTGGAACTGCACTTCCAAGTATACCTCAAACATGGTTATTTCCATGAGAGCCATGATCACAACCCGATGGATTTAGGGCTAGCCTCTTTTCAAACAAACCCATATAATTGGACAACAGCGATGGATGAACAAATGGATGCAAATTGCCGTAAATGGATCTAAAATCACATCCAGTAATTGCATGCAAATAATTGCCGAAGAACCTAACCAGGAGCTTTATAGTAATATCAAGCAGGATTAGAGACATCTTCCCCTTCCACTATTTGGTGCTCACCTGACACCGTAACTACACTTTCTCATTCACAAGAGTAGACCCTCTGAAGATGACACGGCTGGATGGGTCTCTTTCCAGCCCTTTCCAGCCCTTTCCAGTTATCCACGGGGGGTTATCCTGTTGGTCCTGAAGGCGCTGAAAAGGTCCACTCTGACTCATTGGTCCAGTCGGAGGGGCTGTCTAAGTCATCATCAATGGGTGGATCATACCTAGGCCGGTCAAGTGAGGCGCCAGGACACAATAGAAGGGACTCGTCCATGTTTACCATATCAATGTGGCAAACCTCATAAAGATACCCTCTGGTAATTTGTCAAATAGCTATTGAAAATTGCCATTTATAGTTGATTTTCCCATAAAAAATGTCATTTTCAATAGCTATGTTAGTTTACCAGAGGGTAATTAAAGACACATCTTTTGTGGATATGGCTCTTGATACCCGTTTCAAATCGAACGCTCAATCGGGGATGGTCTGCATGGAATGCAGACGACCGGTGGTCCAAGCGGATGAAGATATGGCCTCCAGCCAGACTGGAGTTGCCTACAATGTAACATATGGTGTTATGATGTGTTTAAATGTGATTTAATGGATTTTCACTTAGCACACCCTGTAAATCACTAATTCCAAACCGAAAAAAATGTGTTTTAATGTGATTTGATCTTAGTGAAAAGTGTGCTTAACATGTTCGCTGCAAACCCAAAGGGTTTGCCCGCGGCGAATCCCGCATATCCTGTGACATGCTCAAATCCCTGCGTAGGGTTTAAGCTTTTTACTTTCCCAAACAACAAACCCTAAAACCCTAAAACCCTAAAACCCCAAAACCCTAAATTTACTAAAATCTGAAAACATAAAGTCAAAATCACTGCGTATAGCCAGTGTTTTCATTCATCCTGTGGTGATGAGTACATATATCATATTGTTTGGCTGTGTTGTTTTTTCGTGTGGGCGAAGCCGGGGTTTGGAAGGAACATGTTTAACTGGATTCGAACAAGCGATTTCTCACCAGGCTACATCAGGGCCAAAGCTCCCGGAGGAAAGTCGCCCAAATCATCCACCTCCTGCCCCGATGCCCCATCGATGCCATCAAGATGGGGAGATAGTGAAGATAGATGAAGATAGCTCATCTTTTCATATATGTTTCAAGGATTAGCCATTTAATATGGTTCAATCATGTTGAAACATAACATATCATGAAAAAAGCTAGATTCGATGCTTCAATATGGCTCTACAGCTTCTATCATGTTCTATTAATATTTTTAATGGGCTTCACTATGGTTTTTCTTTATATGACATCTTATGACATCAATTAATATATATGTTTCCTTCTCCCACGCAAACACCGATGGCTTCATGACCGTTGTATCTCCACCTGAGGCCATGCTGCCAGCAGATTGGTATCCAGAAATTTCTCCGCTTCGAAACTGTGTTGGCTCTGTTTTTTGGTTCTGTTGGCAACGGCGGCTTAACTAGTTGAATTTCATCATGTCTGACATATTCTCGTCGAAAATACGAGCCTTTCCCACGAATGTGACTACACCGGGCATAGATTGATGATTAGTCATTAAGTTAGTGTGATCAGGAATCGAAATCATCTTGCACAAACCATCTGGTGACACTGCCAATGCGGACGTTGCAATGATCCCCCCAAAATAGGCTTTACAACCTCCGGTCCAAGATGAGTCCCAAGTTCCGTAGACCCTCATACACCCAAAAAACGGACACCCGGACCTGTTGTCCTAGTTTCAGTGTGCGACGTTGAGTTATAGTACTTCTATGTACTTCTCCCCTTCCCATTCAGGATTTAGAACCCATATCCACACAAGCAATTTTTAATGTTCTCCTCTCCATGTGGTGCAGACGGGTCGTACATGAAAGGAGTCAAATACATCTGCGTGTTGCCGAAAGCATTGAAGCCCGTAAAGTCCTGGGCGATGCGGAAATGATGTGGACCCGCCTCTCTTGAGACAGTGTGATGATTTTTGGCGCCCAAACTTTCGAACCCCCCGTGGGACCAATCGCGGAGTCGAGGACATTATTATGGGTATATTATATGTTTAATTCTAATATTTATTACATATTTCCACCTTCCTTCCCAAGAGAAACATGGTGTTAGTCCACACTGCTCATCACAGCTTTGCATTGTGTCGCCAAGTCTCTTCTTCACTCAGCTTTGGACAACACGCGTTGGAAACGGCACATCTTTGGAGCATCGTTGTGGCTCGGCCGCCGGGTCCTTTTTTCCCGACGTCCCGACGGGTTGTGAACTTTGATCTCAAGCAGCTGCAAGAGACACTTATAGCCATGGGTGTCAAGTGAAGTCATTTAGGTACCTGTTTGGAGAAGATAACCCATTGACTATAGATATAACTGATATAACCCATTTATAACCCATTTTTTAGGTACCCATTGACTAATTGTCATTTTTCCATCATTTTTCCATTTTGACCCATGGCGCTTGCCCACTTTTCTGTAAAGAGTTCAGTCTTGAGGTGCACTGGACCCAGCTCTCCTTGGAAGCCTGATAAAACCTAAAGCATAGCTAAAGTTCATCTCATTGAACCATACTTAACCGGCAAATGACAATGTTGAACACATCGAGACTGGGATGGATCTAAGAAAGCCCGTAGAAATTCCATATCATGCTTTGGTTCCCCACATATCATCCGACATCCGTATCTTAGCACCTCTTCCAATAGCTGTGCTGGGGAGAGGTTCAGCACGGAATGCACGGAGCGAAGCCTGCAGGGTGGTTTCCCGCATACTTAGCTAAGTTGGTGAACCTAAGTCAATAGCCGTTGGGCTTATGGGGGTTATATATGGTTATATCTATCAGGGTAAATTACAATATTTCACTGACCTGAATTAAGGCCATTTGGGGATGATTTCCCTTATGATTCCAGGGCTCGGTCGCAGTGAGGTCGTTATAATTTACCCAGATAGGAATCTGATGATTGCATGGACTATGATGGACAATGATAATCAATTATTATATAATCTATTCAATGATGGTCTATGATAATCTATAGTATCATTTTCCAGATCTATAGTCAATGGGGATGATAAACCAACAAACCATACCTGGAAAGCCATGGCCTTTCCCCAATCAACCCTTTTTCGGCCGTACGGGATCATCCAACAGAAACTTGAGAGCAGGCGGAGGCGGACGAAAGGTAGTGTAGTGGGAGAGGAGTGGTGTCAAAATGCTGCGCCCCTAAGATGATACACCAAAAACGTTTTTGCGCAGTCTAAGATGATTTTATCCAGAGCATGACTGCATGACACTGTGTCTTGTGCTGCGTGAAATGATGCACGAAAAGGGGTTTATTTAAAACCCCTTTTTAAGACCCCTTGCAGCAACTGTTATTGAGGCTGAAGCATACCAATTATGCTGGACTACAGGGACATCTCCCTCATGGAAAGTGTGCCTCTAATGTGGGGGCCCGTGACCGCGTCACCCGTGGGAATTGAACCCATGACCATTTTCGGGGGGGGGGGGGGCCTATAATTGATATCCAATACATAACGGCGAGAATTCCATGAATTGCACGGGCTGGCCCCCCAATACCCCCTAAGCTTGTGCTGAAGCACGGAGAACTCAGGTAGCTGACGCTACCTTTCGTGACATGGCGACATGGTGCGGGCGTTTCTTAAAAACGGTGTGTTCCAAATGGGAGAAACACAGCATTTTTGAAAAACCACCAAAAAAAAACTGAGATAATTTTGCTGGGTTTTTATTAAAAAATATAGTAAAACCAGTTTTTTTTGTCAATGTTATAACTATAGATATAACTGATATAACCCACCAACAAAATCCCCATTGACTATAGATATAACTGATATAACTCCCAAGATGGATAACAAATGGAAGTTTCCCAAAAACAAATGCAAAAAAGAAAAACGACACTTTCTCCCTTGTTGTTGGGGCCTCCTAGATGAATCGACCGTCTTTTGTGTGTTTATCCAAAAATAAGAGGTCTGACTTGTACAAAATAACAAGAAATAAGAAAAACATACACACACACATCAATGGCCATTTCAGGAACCTAAATTGGAGGTACCTACCATGTATAAGGCCAATGTAAGGGAATATCCCCGCAAAATATGGCCTTATATGGTACAGTACCCCCATTTTAGGATCCTGAAATTCCCATTGAACACACACACACATACTTAAGTGCCGTGTTGTTTGGGTGTCGCAAATTCCTATGAACATGGGTCCAAACCTGGAGACTAACCTTGGATGGTTGATACTAAACGCGATTAAACATCTCAACAAGGATCCTGCACCAGCTAAGGGATGTGGTTTACGCCATAATTTTGGAATGCTTTCAACTATCCAAGGTGGCAGGATTTCTTCCATATCTATGTACTTTCGATTTTTGGACAGAGCATCAAGCAATTTCGGCACCCAAACATCCTCACAGCATTCAATCAAGGACTGTCACTGAGACTCTGACAAGGTTGGCATGTGTTCGTTGTGGAAGACCATCACTACACTTGCCTCGAGGGGCGAATGGGTGATGCGGGGAAACAAACGGCAAACATGGATGAGCATGGTGGTAAACCATAAATACGCTGGAAAACATCTGGGTCTGTCTGAAAATAAGGGTATCTCAAATTCCAATGATTTTTCTTCACTTTCACCACTCAAATGATCATTATGGGGTATCACTGATAGGCTTGAAGAGGGTATCTACTTCCCCCCCACACCTGCATTCTTCTATTAGTGTTCTTGCTATTTACATCACCCTCTGGTAAACTAACATAACTATGGAAAATCACCATGTTCAATGGGAAAATCCACTATTTCAATGGCCATTTTCCAGTTCGCTATTTGACCAAATTACCAGAGGGTACATTTCAGCTATGGCAATACCTATTCGCGAATTTTGAAGTCTCTACCAGCCTTGGGCATGTGACAAGGATAGGTCTCCTGTCTCGCTTTGCAAAAGTCCGAGCGGACGTCAGCCTGGCGAGAGGCAGGACGGTGTGTTGATGGTGTCTGTCACAAGGTCTCCACTGGAAAAGCATATCTCGCTTTAAGTTGATTTCAGTTTAAGTCACATTTACAGTAAATTTCTATCTAAATTACCCTCTAAACTGAGATAGCTCTGGAAAATCACCAGCTTTAGAAGAAATCAACGAACTAAATGGGCCATGTTCAATAGCTATTTGACATAACCAGAGGGTACTCAGGATACCTCGTCATTTCTCTTGGCGAAAGGATCCCAGCTGTGCCAAGGGGCCAAACCCGCAGCCACCCTGTCGCCTGCACGCGATCCACGTCGATGGCTTCGCTGTCGCGACTGCTAAAGCTGAAGCCACGGTGTGATTCCAGGCGCTCCTTGAGAAACACGATTATATATCTATGATTATATGGAAAAAAGGAATATATGATTATATATCTATGCCAGTTTGATGGCAATCATATCGTTCTCAATGTTCATCAAGTCATTGATGTATTACTATCATCCCTCTTACTTATTGTCTATTGTGTTTAATATATGATGGTTAAGACGATCAATGTGGTATTCACCCAATGCCAGAGTGGGATTATAATGAGTGCATACAATGAGATCATATGGATACATTAATGGTTAATAAGCCTATATATTATTAGTAGATGTTTACATTGGTGTCTATGGATGAATATGGTGAATTAACTGTGTTCAATATGTGAATATATGTATATATATATATGTAAATGTATATATTCCGATATATGTTGTGCTTATTTCATATGTGGTACACATATATATATACATTCCCATATATTGGATTGTGATGGTGAACTAACCATCAATATACGATGTTATTTCCTGGGGATATTTTCATGGATCCCCATTTTTATAGGTGGTATATGGTGGTATATTTACCAGTCCGAGTCATGGGTGGTAAAAATGGTCTTGTTTTACCCACATTATACCATCTGGTCAACCAACATAACTATTGAAAATGGCCACTTATAGTTGATTTACTCATGAACAATGGTGATTTTCCTTAGTTATGTTAGTTTACCGGAGGGTACATGTTTAATCATATTTATACATTTAACCATGGTAAACCCAATGGCAAATTACCAGAGGGTAACTGTTATCAAATCACCATGAAAATGCCATTAAATCACTATACAAAAAAACCCATGAAATCCCTGTAAAATCGGGGCAATAACCGTCATCTAAGGTGACAGCGAGTCCTTCTTCGAGAGGCCGCGGTGCGGCAGTGGCACGGGCTCCAACTTGCAGCAGCTTCCATCGTGGAAGAGGCCCAACCTGGTGGACTTCATGGGAATTTCATGGGGAGAAAACGTGGGGGATGTCATGGGATATAAAACTCAAGCAACAATGGGGATAAATGATGGTTGTATGGGTTGTGGGAAGCAACATACATGGTGCTAATTTTAGAGATTTTATAGGCCATGTGGGAGGATTTTCTGGTAATTACGATAGCATAGGATGAAAGGTAACATCATGGTGATTTATACCCGGTAATATATAACATAATCAATAAACATGGTGATAATGTGGGGAATATCATGGGATTTACTTGGATTTTTTGGGGATTTCATGGGATTCGATAGCAATTTCACGTACCTAAATTGTTGGCATCTATAGGGATTTAATTGGATGTGGTTGTAGTAATCAACAAACATGGTGATAAAATGGGAATATCACAAAAAACATAAAGGGATATTTCATGGGAAGATCTTACGGAAATATTATAGATATGAAGGGGATACAATAGCATATAACAATAAGATAACTGGGAATTCACTAAGATCAAAGATGAAGAATTTCACTAGAAACAATGATATTTTTAGTGTGATTTATCGATAAATTGGCCGAAGGGAACATTTACAGGACACCGTGTTTTTTGTTTTCCTTTAAGCTTTCCTTTCAACCAATTCTATGGATTTAATCATCCACAATTGGAATTCAGCAAGCTAAGCAACGTTTTAAATGGTGAATAAGCAACAAGAACGTGATTCATGGGAGGTTTAGCTTAGCTTGGGTTGCAGCATCATGTTCCCATACAAAAACTGTTGGTGATCTTCCCAGTTTTTGGCAGTGGGTCATATACCCTCTGGTAAAGGAACAGCTTGCGAACTGGAAAAGCACCATGTTGAAGAATGGTAAGTCAACGACTAAATGGCCGTGTTCAATAGCTATGTAACAAACTATCAGAGGGTAAATCCCATTACATCCCATTACATCCCATTAAATCACCATAAATGACCATTAAAATCCCATTTTAGTAATATAGTAAAATCCCATTAAAACCCGTGGTGAAGACCTCAATCTTGGTCAACGCCATGGTGTCCCAAAAAATATGCGCCTGCCGTGCTGATGCTCCAAGGTGGCATTCTCCAACACCTGCAAAAGGGGATGTCGCAAAAGGATACAACGGCTTTTGGACAACCAGGTCATCTCTAGACATCTTTATTAATATTTTCTATTCTATTCTATTATATCATATTATGTTATATCATATCATATTATATCAAATTATATTATATCATACTATAATATACTATACATATTGGATATAGAATGAATAGTATAAGCCCAAGATATCCCAATATACTGTAGTTTCACCCCATGTACTTATCAACCAAGTGGTTTCGCCACCGCGCCAAACACCGGGGGCACCTTCGGCGCTTTGGATCGAAAGACCACCACATCCGTCGAAGACGGCAGCGGCGGCGCGTTGTTCTTGTAGCGTGGGGCAGCTGAGACCTGTTTCGAGGTCGGGATGGTAACATGGGTTGTTTTTTCAAGACACACGGGAAACCATCTTGAAAAATATGAGTTCGTGAATGGGAAGGATGACATCCCATATATTATGGAAAATCAACAACCAATAATGTTCTTTTGATAAAAATAGAGAGCCGGGAGCAGGTTAATCCCATCTATCATCAAACAAACCTGTTGTTAAAGGGGTTTCTGAAGAACCCCCTCTATTAATCAACCAACCAATGGGAAAAGGACATCTATGATGCCAACATCCAAATGAAAGGCTATCCTGCAACTCTGCCCTTTAAGCATATCTGATATGCTTTGATATGTAATGATATATACATTTATATACACATAGATATCTCTGAACTCTTTGAGCAATATCCAAACCAATGCAGGTTGTCTAGGTGTTTCTTTTTGAGGAATCCACAACTTTCAGGTCCTTCCCTTGACCTTCCAACACCAAATGTGGTCTGCTGCTCCACCATGGCCTATCTTGGATACCCTGCAAGGAACCTTGTTTTGAAGCTGGTCACAGTAGATATCTGTGGATATATGTAGACATACGTAGACTTTACATTTACATGTTGCATTTACATACACACTGTATATATCCCCACCAACCGAACAAACCGACCAATGGTTTTACCCACATATCCATGTGATACCCACGCTGGACGGTTTTACCCTGACATTCCTGGACCCTGATCTTTTCGACATAGTTTTGAGCTACCACAAGAATCAAAACAATTCGAAGGCATGTGTACTTGAGTATGTATATATATATATATGTATATATATATATGATACAGGTGTGAATATGTCAATATTCATCACAAGCAACATATCAGTATACATCTATGTCATAATATACATACACATGTGCATATTCCTAAAATGCGGGTACCACCAAATCTTTCATTTTGATGGGATTTTCCATTATAAACCATCCAGCTATTGGGGTACCTCCATTGTAGGTTAAACTCCCATATATATATATATATATATATGTGTGTACAGTATATATATATACACATATATATATACAGACAGTATATACAGGATGGGGCCCCATATTTAGCTAAGTTGGTTTATAACCATAATAACAATAGTGTGATACTTATAACTATATTTTGATGGGGTTATAAACCAACAAACATAACTGGGCGGCCCATCCGGTACATATATATATATATACACACATATTTATTAAGTATTTGTTTAAATGTAAAGCCAGCGACAATCGCAACATCCGATTCAGATGTCACCAGCGATTTGCTGCCGGCGCAGCGCCTGGATTTTCTCATCGCAGATCCGCAGAAGTTGCAGTTCGTGCAGTTGCTCCAGCGCCCAGTTTCGGGGAGCCGCCTCTCGTGGCTGGGCCTAGATAGCTAAGTTGGTCTATAGCCAATATCACTAGGCCTTATTGTGACACTATATATAAAATAATATATAACAATAGTTGGATGGGGTTAGAAACCAACTTATACCTGGACACCACCTTGTAACATTGCTTCTTGTATTATTCGGTTAACCGGGTATTACTATTTATATCTATTGGCATGGTTGTTGGTAATATTGTTGGGCTGGCTGTTATTGGGTGGGGGACCCTGGAGTCGTAAGTGGTTCGAAAAACAAATATACTTAATTATACTTATTATATCCCATAGGATCCATGTATGACATTTACCATCAACATACCCCAAATGTTTGCATATGTACCAGCACCATGGATCCTATGGGTATTATTATACATCAAATTGCAGCGTGTTTCATATGTAGCTCGGTTATTTCAATATTAACCGAACGATTTTTAGCCACTTAGTGGGATGCACATCCCCGATGCTTGAAGGGAAATCTACAGGAAAGCGCGCTGTTCTTCTTGACGCGTAACCTTCACTTCCTGCATCTTCCTGCACATTTTGAAAGAACATGCAATAAACCATCCCAATTTTTGATGGTTTATTATACCCATTGATGGTGAAATGAGGGACGGTACATGCAATCGGGTTGGTGGTGCAATAACCATCTTGAAAAATATGAAAGTCAAAATATGAGTCCGTCAATGGGAAGGATGACATCCCAACCAGGCAATGATGGCATAGATTCCCTGCAGATACCTATTTCTTTACGCCATATGCGAGGATGACATCGGAAGCTTGAAAACACCCGTGTACTATGTTTAAATTACTGACGTTGTAGTGGCTTCATGTTCGAATTCCACATGAGAGTAGTGGCAAAAAATGATGAGCTATGTTTATTCTTTCCATAACCATAGTTCATGATCATATATAGTAATAATATGTAATAATTATCATGATAAATAACATAATTACTCATAGCTTATCATATATGTGTATTTAATCCTGATAATTATTATGTGAATAACCTTAACCTGGCAGCAAATATCTGTGCTGTTTATTCTCACTTCAAATCAGCGATGCACATCACGATGCTCATCTCTATATCCTCTCCACATTACACCACCATGTTTGTTTTCGTTTCCCTCTGGAAAATCACCATGTTCAATGGAAAATCCCCATGGCTTCAATGGCAAATCAACTAAATCAACGAACTTTCTATGACCATTTTCAATAGCAAACTTTTTCAGAGTTTACCAGATGGTAACATCTCTATATCATTCTACATCCCTTTCCCTTTATCCACATTACACAATCACTACACCAGCATGTTGGGGTGAAACAAACCAGGTTGCGCCTCTTCCAACTCTTCACAGCCTTTCAGGACCAGTCCCGCCAGCAACGCCGCCAGCGGCCGGGTCATGGGCAAGACGCATCGATGCTAGTATGCTTGATATGTGATTGATTCCTTTGTGATATCCCCATTGACAAACACATGTGTCAACAGGTTTATCAGGCCAACTAAGCGTCTCAGTATGGGGCGGAACGGGGCGGAAACTATCTACTTTGGATAGCAAAAACAACTGCTTGGGGGAATGAATGATCCCCTGGGTAGAGTATATGGAGCAACGTTGCTTTTGTGTGGCAATACAGTGATTCCTTTTTGGAGTTGTGAGACTCAACAGAAACACAGCGAAAGATCTTTGTCCATGATTGATTCATTTGTCGTTAAAAAACCTGGGTTCTCCATTTCAAATGATTCCGACCCCTCTTCCTTGTTCCATATTGTTCCATCCTCTCACCATGAAAGGTTCCGTGGCTACTGTTTGATAGAAACTGCAGGATGTATTCGATCCCGAAGATGCCTCTCTGGAGTGAATCGGCGCCAGGTTTTATCTAGAACTTGCTCAGTTTTTCCCAGGGTTTTCCCAAATCAACCGTGTGCTGAGGGCCATTTCATCCCCGAAAATAGTTCACCCCACACTTCGCAACACTCCCATGGACCTAGAATGGTCCCCTAGGACTCAAGTCGAATAGCATAAGTCATCAGCCATCAACAGCAACAGTCAACATTCAATAATCAACAAAAGCAACAAGCATCGTATACTTATGATACTTCTACATGAATAATATGAACTTAACATCACTTTACAACGTCTGTACTAAATGACCTGCACAACATCGGCCGTTTTCGTCGGATTCCGTCGTGGGCAATTTTTTCAGCCGGATCTTTGGCCGGACGATAGTTGCCCGGCGGAGGCTGAAGCCTCAGACTGTGATTGGCTCGGGTATGTTATGGGTTCCATTGGGGGTGACTCAATGGGTACCATGATACCAATTCCCCCAAAAAACATGTCTTACTTTAATATAAAGTATGAAGCATTTTGCGGGGCCACGAGTTTTTGAACCATCCTCATGGCCGTCCCAACGTTTTCCAAAGGTTACATGACAAGCCATGAACCTGTTCGACACCCTCAAAGTCTCCTGCAATCTGCCGTTTTGGTAGGGCTGGAAATGGGCTACATGATAACGAATCATCAAGATTATGGGGGGTTCACCAATTGACCAAAACCCATGTCGAGGTTTCCTGAAACAGGGGTACCCCCCAAAATCATCCATTGTATTTCCGGATTTTCCAGCAAATAAACCATCCATTGTTGGGGCACCATCATCCGCCAACCCGCGTTTGAAAATCGCGAAGCCAAGCGGCCAATGCAAACCGAAGCGATCTTCTAATTCCGTTGAGGCCAACAATGCTTTGCATTTGACCCGTTCTGTTATCTGGTACAAGCGGTAGATCACCTGGCGATCCACAAAAACCCACAAAAAACCCGAGGCTTCACCATCACTTACATCATATTCAAACTGGATAGACACTGCACACTTTTTTTGGGGTATTGACATGTATTGACCAATTACAATATAATATGTCTACATATACATGTGTATATATAAATATATTATATATGTATATATAAATCTATGTATATATAAATATATATATAGAAATATATGTATATAGGCGTGTTACTTCTTTCGGTTTTGATGGAACAAAATAAGCCGGCAAACATAGCCAGCTGTTTTGCGGTTCCAATTTTTCGTTTTTTTCTCCCCGTCTTGGATTTGGTGAAGGTTTCTCTATAGGTTTCTGTGTACGATAAATCCGCATAATCCAAAACAATGGATTTTAATCATCTTAGAGATAGGTACAGGGTTAAAAAAAACTCATTTAGCACTACCTCACCCATTATAACAGTCTAGTACTAACTACAGCTATTTAAATATACAGTACCATTGTACAGTGCCACTATAGATGTATCACATACAACTATGAACATTGTAGTACCATTATATATCAACATACAATTCTTAGATAAACCATACTTAAATTGGTACCGTCTGGTAAATCACCATTTGTAGCTGGGTAAATCAACTATTTCTATGGCCATGTTCACTAGCTTTTTGTATGTTTACCAGAGGGCTAATCCCCTTAAATCACCATTAGAATCCCATCAAATCCTCACTAAACCTTCCAGTTTATACCCATTTTTTAAAATCCCATTTAGATCCAATTTTTTACATTGAAATCCCATTAAACTCCAATTAAATCACCATTAAAATCCCATTTTTCTATACTGTACTAAGCTGTACTAAACCAGCCATCCGTAGCTGGTTTCCCGGCATGTTGCCTCATGGCCACCACGTAGCACGGCATCTGCGGGCCACTCGTGGCCCATTGAGAAGCTCCTGGAGAATAATTCGGCGGTGATTTTTTTTTGTCATTGGTCTATATTATAGATGGCCGAACTATAGATGATGACCAATGATTATAGATGATTATTTTTTGTCATTGGACTAAATGATTATAGATGATTATTAATAGGTATTATTAACCATGGTGATATCTATATTGTCTATATAGATGATTTATATTGTCACAGTAATTGATGCCCAATCTATATTATTTAGATGATATGTAAAGGGGAGTTGCTATCTATATTTATATTATTAACCATGATGATTATATTAACCACCAATGATTATAGATGATTATTAACAATATTGGTCTATCAATAAAATCTGTTATATAAATGATTAAAACATATATTATAGATGATTAATAGATATATTGGTTAATAATATCTATTAATCATGTCTGGTATGAATGATTATAGATGATTATAACAAATATTATTAACCATGGTGATAATTAACCACCAATGATTATAGATGATTATTAACAATATTGGTCTATCAATAATATATGTTATATAAATGATTAAAACATATATTATAGATGATTAATAGATATATTGGTTAATAATATCTATTAATCATATCTGGTATGAATGATTATAGATGATTATAACAAATATTATTAACCATGGTGATTTTATTAACAACCAATGATTATAGATGATTATTAACAATATCGGTCTATCAATAATATATGTTATATAAATGATTAAACCATATATTATGGATGATTATTAATAGATATATTGGTTACTAATATCTATTAATCATATCTGGTATGAATGATTATAGATGATTATAACAGATATTATTAACCATGGTGATAATTAACCACCAATGACTATAGATGATTATTAACAATATTGGTCTATCAATAATATAATAATATATTGTCTTTTTGTAATATAGATAATGTATATTATCAACAGTCATGAAATATTAATATCATATCTCTGAAATATTATCTTTAGTCAATGTTTTTTTCGTGATCTATATATTATTTACATAGACCATGTTGATTATAATATTATAGATTCAACGATATGTGGCTGGCTGTCGAAATATTGCGGATTCAGCATCAAATTATGGGTATTCAAGCATGCTAAAAACAAAAACAATTGGAAAAAATCAAAATTGGAACCCCCCGTTTTCTGACAACCACATATAGATCTTATCCGTTTATGGATAGGTTTATAATGTGGTAAACCCAGAAAAAAAACACATCCACTTTGGGGACGGTATAAAAACCAACTTCGGGCAAAAGTGGGGACGGTTCTGGTATTATGTTTGTCACTTGAGGTAGGATTAGAGATATTTGTGATGGGGGCTGTCTGTTCACCCATGGACTTATGATAGGTTCAAACCCTTTTGGTCTCTACTTATGAGAAGCTCAAGAAAGTTATGCGAGTCCAAGTTCAACAAGATTAAGATGCAGTCTGTGACTGATTGAAAATAAACCAAACCGGGCGGACAACAATTTAGGGACACATGGGGTCTAACAACCCAGAAAGTAGTTGGTACCCAGAGAGTCATCCGTTCATGCCACGAAATGAGCTCAACGGAAAAGAACGCTGTCGCTGAACTGGGTTACATCTCTGTCGATTGGCTTGCGATTACAGTTTTCAATGCCATCAAATGAGAAGGAATCAGCCCAAAAAACAAAACCACAATCACATTTTTGTTTTGTTGGACCATGATGCAAGGATCGAAACCATTGGACAAGGATAAGCCTAGGGTCATGGTGTCGATGATGATGATGATGATGAGGATGATGATGATGATGATGATGATGAACATTATATATTTGTAGAATAATAATGACACTAATATCCATCATAACGTTACTTCAAATATGTATTATTCTCATTAGTACATTGATGAATAGTGAATCGTGAATCACCTGGCCGCTGGCCGCCGTCCCCGGAAAGTGACCTGCTGATGATGCACGCGCCCAGTGGTAAGGACTGCATCAATCGAGGTCGCAAAGTCAGGTTGGCCCATTCGCCCAGGAAAAGGTAGACCTCATTCTCAACCATTTATCATGGGTTTATGATGATTTTCTATCAATCATCATGGGTTTATGATGATTTTCTATCAATCATAATGGGTTTATGATGATTTTCTATCAATCATCATGGGTTTATGATGATTTTCTATCAATCATCATGGGTTTATGATGATTTTCTATCAATCATAATGGGTTTATGATGATTTTCTATCAATCATAATGGGTTTATGATGATTTTCTTTCAATCATAATGGGTTTATGATGATTTTCCCAATCATCATCATCATTCTCAACGCAGGTTTCCCAAGTCATAGGGGTACCCCCAGTTATCACCCAGTCGTCATGGATGACCATGACTTCGTATTGAAACAACCATGGTGACGACTGGGGATCCCCCATGAAGAAACCCTCTGGAAGATGCCACGAAGGGGTCAACCAAGCCCAGTCCCTCGTACTTCCTGCTGTTTCAACAAGAAGTGGATGTTGAGGATATTCATGCCATCTGGTAACTTGGTATCATCGATTTTGGTCCGTCTGGGTTTAACCCGGACCGTTGAAAAAAGGATGTGGTTCGGGTGCCCTTTCATTGAGTTGAATGGCAAATCCTGCAGCCAGTCCAGCAGCGAGCAACGGTACTGGGCTTACCAGAAAGGTCAAAGAAGTCGCATGAAAAAATCTAGATACATCTAGATACTCTTCATTTGTTCTTTTTCGCGTGGCAACATATTAAAATACAAGGTTTCAAACTGTCGAACCAGTGAAATTTCTCAGTAACATCAGCTACATGCCAGAGGTGAGGGTAGGGTAAATAGCATTTACTGTTGCAATCCCCCTATGTTCTGTAAATCTCCCAGCTAAAATCAAGTATAAATCCCAAGTTTGAATAAATTTGATGGTTAAATCCTCATTTTGCCTCATTCTTGATGTTTCAATCAGCATCTTCCTATTGTGCGCCCAAGCGTCCACGGTGGCTTGTGACATCAATGGCAGCTCTGGGTCCAGAGCCAACTCTCCAGTTTCACCTGGTGTAGGGTGGATCTATGGATACCCGCCGCTTACTGCGATGCGATGGACAGGAAAATTCATCGCCTTTTGATGCTCGTGAAAAGAAGATGTGGGTGAAACATGGTGAAACCACTGTCCAGATTCGGTTGTGGTCCCCATTTCGGCCAGGTTGAAATTCCGTGGAAAAACATCATCAGTTGGGATTGAGAGCACCATCACCGTAGGATCAACACCCAATGGCTATCAGCTGAAGCCCGATAGCACCCTTCTGTTCACAGCAAAATAGCTGGGATTTATGGCTCCCCCGCAAAAAAGACGGTGTTTTTCATAAGGTTTTGATCCCACATATCACCATGTTTACACGAAATCCCGTAGTCGTGGATATATTTCTTATAATTACGAAGTAAATCCCAATTGAACCCTCCATAATTGTTTTCACATCATCATTTTTCCAACAAATGCCAGAACATTTGATGCTTGCAGCTTCGACACTTGCCGTAGTCTTCGTGGCGAGGGCTTTCCACGGCAGCGTGAAGCCTTGGGCCATGAAATGGCCACTTGGGCCATGAAATCATGGCAATTCACGATGGATCAAGGAAAAATGACGAACTGGTTGGTGGTTGACCTACCCCTCTGAAAAATGATGGACTTCGTCAGTTGGGATGATGACATTCCCAACGTTAATGGAAAGTCATAAAAGCCATGTTGCAAACCACCAACCAGATGACCAATGGCCTTCTAGTTCTGACTAATTCTACAGTTGTGGCTATGATGGGCTACAGCTGATGCCGAATAAAGTCATCGTAATTGGTACTGGGTTTGTCCAATGCGACTTCTGGCCGCTGGTTTCAACGTGTTTCAGCCCGAAAATGGAAGTGGTCATCAACATTTTTTTGCAGAGATTACCCTCCTTTAAGCTAACATAACTATGGAAAATCACCATTGTTAAATCATCAAACGAAATGGGTCATGGCTTACAGTTCGCTGTAACAAATTACCAAAGAATAAGCCAACACCACCTGGATGCATCAAATCAGCCAGTGGAGTTGATTGATGCTAAATATATACCATATACCCTCTGGTAATTTAACGTAGCTATTGAAAATGGTCATTTATAGTGAGTTTTCCCATTAAAACTGGTGGTTTTCCATAGTTTTTTGTATGTTTACCAGAGGGTATACCATATAACTGGTTGGTGGTTGCTGCTGACCCCTCTGAAAAATGATGGACTGAAAGTCAGTTGGGATGATCATTCCCAATATATGGGAAAAATGGAAAAATATTCCAAACCACCAAGCAGTATATGTATGTATCCTATCCACATCAAAATAACAGAATCAAACCAAACCACTGAGCCTCTGGTACTTTGTTACACTTCAGGAAAACTACCATCAAATTTGCAAGTAAACTCCATGAGCCATGAACTATACTTATATTCCCCACAAACCATAACTATAGCTAGTGGGCCTTTTTTTGTCTATTATTGTTCTTGAGAGAAATTAAAGCCAATTACAAACTATAATTGTGGGGGATACAACTAATAAGTAATCCATTACTAAATCCACCACTATTGTATCTAACTGAGTCTTAATGGTCCAGTTTTCATTCATTTTCCATAGCAAGCTGAGCCACAAGAATCAAGGTCCGCATGTAGCACCTAATGGAGATCAAGGGGAGTTTAATCAAAATGCCATAAACCTACCATTTGTGCGGCTCCCTATAGAAAACCATAGGGCAAGCATAGGAAACTTATGATTTAACCGACAAAAATGGGGATTTCATGAGATTTGATTTATAGCTGATTTACGAAATCGCGACAGGTTGATGCACAGTGAATTCACTTGGTTTTTCTATGTTGGGTTGATTCAGGGGATATACCCACCAGTAAATTAACATAGACCCTGGCAGATGGGGGTTGGAAGATTAGTTTCCACTAAAAAATTGTCATTTTCAGGGTCTATGTTTATTTACCATAGGGTAACTATAGTATTTCATGGCTTTATAAACCAACAAACATGACTGGGGGGGGCCAACCCTTTTTCAGCACTTGGGAAGGTCACCATCGATTTCTGGTGGGGATGTTTATGAAGCTTGACCGTCCGTTTGATTCCAATCGCTATCTCACTGTATCTGGATATACCCTCTGGTAATTTGTCAAATAGCGAACTGGAAAATGACCATTGAAATAGTGGATTTTCCCATTAAAAATGGTGATTTTCCATAGTTATGTTAGTTTACCAGAGGGTATCTGGATAAAGAACTTTCTTTGTGAAAAGCATAAGAAGCCCAAGGCATAGACTTCAAATGACTTCAGACTGATCCAGTCTGGGGAAGGAAGTTTCACAAACACATTATCACCCCGTGGCTGCAAAGGGGGGTGTCTGAAAATGGCGGTATGCCCTGTTGGGTGTACCTCATTTTCAAACAAACCCAAATCATAAATGTTAAGCCAGAATACCTCAGAATAATTCATGATAATCCTTCGACACGTTTGCCGTATACCCCCCTTTTCGACCAAACCCATGTACCTTTTTTTTGTGGGTTCTGTCCTATTCTATCCTCAAAATAGCTGGTTAGCATCCCAATTAAACCGATTCATTACCCATAGGATCCATGGTGCTGCTATATATGGTAACATTTACCATCAATATACTCCAAATGTTAGCATATATACCAGCACCATGGATCTTATGGGGTTATGGTCCGAAAAAGAACAAAACATGATGCCAATCTAACGGGCCGCACCACTTTTTTTGGTGAACATCCCATGGACAAGTTGTCGCAAAAACCAAAAAAATATCCCCCAACGAAAAGTTGGAAGAGTTGACATGAGAAAGGCAGTTTCAGGGTCAAAGTCTGAAAATTTACAGTAGCCTCCGATTTTTTTTCACATATAGTACTTCTACCATTTTTTCCATTTACTTCGATGATTTTTTCGCCAAACAAAATCCAATTTTTCCACGATTGGATTGTCCCAGCTTGCCAAAAAGCACCTGGATGTTGGTATCAACCGTGGCTTCCTGTGCACGTCTGTAGGTGGCTGCATCCAACTCGACCCCAATGATGTGGCACCTGCGGTGCCCAGAAGGCCGAGAGCCAGGGATTCACCTTACGTAACTTGAGGACTTTGATCTTCACGTTCTAAACCATATCTTAGCCATATCATGACCATCCACATATACATATATATAATATAATAGACCTATATATATAATATAGACATATATATATATATAATATAGACATATAGACACATATATATATATACACACACTCTACACGTATAAACATATCTTAGCCATATCTTGGCAATATTTCTCAATAGTTCCGACACGACTCGGCACTCGGGATACGCCGCATGGGCTGCCAGAAGGACTTCACCATGTCCGCAGCCCAGGTCCACAAAGACCTGGCCCAAGAAAAAGGTTTTGGAACCGAAGTGGGTATATGAAGCAGGCACATATAATAACTATAATATAAGAACTATAATATGTATATATATAGAGTTATAATATAGGTATACATATATACACATAATATTACAAATATCTATTACTATTCACAGTGACTTTATAATCTCAGTTTAGAATGGTTAACAATGGCTAACAGCGTTTAGTAATGGTTCAAAACTGCTAATAACCACAAACGATGGTTTAGTAAGGGATGGTTTAGTAAGGGATTTTGGACAATTGAGGGGGTGTGCAGTATCAGGGTGATCTGATTACATGCCTGTACTATATAACAATAGTATGTGTATATATTTATATTGTATAGAATAAATAAATAAACAAATAAATAAATATATATGTATATATATTTAATTATATATATATTGTCTGTTTGCTGGTTCCATGTCAAGTCACTAATCGCTAATTCCAGCACGAGATCAACAGTGATTCGGTGATCGCTGAGGCCCCTCACATCTTGAGAAGTCAACTGCACCAAACCACCACCGTCAGAACCTTGGGAGACAGGCTGGTCATGGTTGGGCACCATGAAAAAGGGCCTTTGTTGGGTAAGCTCACCCTACTGTGAGACAAACCCATCTACCCCACATTGCTGGTGAGAAATATCCCCATTGTATCCCGAATATTTGGGGATTATCCTCCGGTAATCAAACATGAATAGGAAATCCCCTATAAATAAAGGTTCTAATGATTTCGAATGGGAAAATTATACAGAGATCTGGGATTTTCCAGCCATGTTTGATACCGGAGGGTTTTTCCCCCCCCTATATTCCTATATTCCTATATGTAGGTTTCCAAAGTCATGGGGGTCACCCCAAATCATCCAAGTCGAGCATGGAGCATGACTTGGTACTGAAACAACCTCTTCAGGTGACGTCCGGGGATCCCCCTATGACTTAAGAATCCCCTTTATCAGGGGTTGGTAACTTTCCCATTTTGGGAATATTGGACATCACCAAAAATAGTAGCCATTATAGACCATATACCTAATGGTTGGGTGATGTTCAATGGGGACATTTAATGACCCATGTTTATTGCCATCATTTAATGACCCTCGGTTTTCTTCACAGCCAGGAAGCGAAAGACAGTGCCCAGGACATCAGCTATCGGCGTTTCTCGGAAACCCGCCTGGGACCGAGGCAGGCCGAGGCAGAACATGCGATAAAAATGATGTGTTTAGCAGATTTGGAGTTTCAACATGTTGAAAAAACTCACACCCCTTATTCTGAGGATTTTCCAGATGCTACCAGTTGGAGTCTATATTTGTGTCTGACAGAAGACCATCGGCATCTATCATCATCACGATCCCTTCCCCCATGGGATTGTGCGATCCCCATCTGAACCTCAGGGTTTTGTATGCCAGCCCCCAAGTGCATACCATGGCTGTCTTCGGAGCTGTCTGGTCTAGGGCTTCAAACAATGCGGCCATCAAACATTACGACCCCCAAAAAACAGAATAGTTGTCTGGTTGGGATGTGAACTACTACCAGAATATATATATATATATTTGGTATATACATACTATAATGTATATATTATCTGTATATTATATATATATATATTTCGCGGGATGATTGGTTTTGAGAAATCCCACCTTGTCGAACCCCTCTGTATGGTAGTTAGATCCGGAGTGCTGGCTGGTTTTGCAGCATGAAAAAAACATCTAAGGAGCAAGTGGATATAGGTTCTGGGCATGTATGCATATGTATACATATACACATATATACACATAATATACAATTTACATGTATATATATATATCACCGTATACATATCATTTGATGATTAGAGCGTGTATTGTAACCATATGATCGCATTATTATATTCATGATTCATGTGCCACATGTGCCACATGTGCCAATGTCAAATTGCATGGTATATTAGTGATATGGTCATCCATTCCAATTCATGGGAATCAACAAAGAAGAAAGGTCTATCAAATCCCAATGAAAATGGATTGATTGTTCCCATCCCCCAAACCAATGGATTAATCCAACCCATGAACATTGCTATAAATCTCTATGAACAAACCAATCTCCATGATGGATTATCTCATTTAAACCTGATCATTGTTGGGATATATATCAACATGGATACTAATATTCTTTGGTTGGTGGTTGGCCTACCCCTCTGAAAAATATGAGTCAGTTGGGATGATGACATTCCCAACTGAATGGAAAGTCATAAAAGCCATGTTCCAGTCACCACCAACCAGTTCTGGTATCTAAATCCCTTCATGGGAATCCGAACGAATCCGAACAAAAATACAAAACCTACAAAACCTCCCGAGCACCAAAAAGCTCCACAGCTTCGCCAAGCCGCGGCCGAGGCACATAACTCACGCTGTTCTTCGACGGATCGGGATCACTTCGCCGGTGCACCGGACCACCTAACTTCACCTCACAGGGATGGTGGGTTCCTCAACTCATCCTATTTTGGATGGAGATTTTAAGGGGAAAAACATGGGAAAACCATCTACAAATGAAGGATTTTCATTAAACAAATTTCCATGTTTCCGGAGTGTAATATGACTTTAGAAGTGGCTTGAAGATATCAAGATGGCTCTGCATCTCTGCCTTAATTTCGTCAGACATCTGTGCCTTACATCATGATCAATTCATGAGATCCCTTCGTTGTATCGTTCGTTGTATCGGGAAATCTCCTGCTTGGTCTCGAATTCAATTCCCTCTTAGAAGGCCCAAACTTGAACTGGATGAATTATGATGAATCGATGGGGTTCGATGGGGGGGTTCATTTGAAAATGGGAGATTTCGGGACTTATTCATGGTAATATTCGTGCAACTTATGGTGATAGCCATGCAGCATTGGTGGGCCATCCGCCCAGGGTTACCATTGGGTTGTGCAGGGTATCATCAGTAGAGTTCACCAACCCAAAAAAAGATCCCTGAAGCTGCCATATATATAATATATAATATAATATATATATATAATATATATAATATAATATATATATATATAATATATATAATATATATATATGTTGACCTGGGGGTTTCATAAAATAAGGGCTAGATTTTCCTAAACTCCTCCATTTTTCAATAGGATTTTGCAAAGAAACCATCCACTTTTGGGTACCTCTGGCTATGGATTTTCCTTGGAGATGTCATGATTCCAACTGGTCAGAGTTCACCGGGATTCACCGGGCGCCTTCACTCGCAACGGAGCCGCTTTGGCAATGGCCGGCGCTGGCGTTCTTCGCAGGGGCGGAGGTATGGGCGGCATGGGACCGGAACCTCCAGGGGTTTAGAAAAATGGGTCACGCGTCGAATCTCAGCCACTTGGGGCCATGCTTTTGGGGATACGATTCGCAAGTTACCCAAGTCGATCTAGTTACCGAAGCAGTGCCGTGAGCGGCAAAGAGTGAAGCGACTGCATCCTGATTGAAGTCGAACCTAGGTGTAGATATGATTCTGAAACAATCTGCTGTCAGTCTCATTTCTTGTTGGATGCTGTGAGTTTCACCGCTTTTCTTCGGCGTGCTGAGCAATGGGGTGAACTCTTCAGAGGAATGCCCAGTGCCCAAACCCCTCAGAAAATGTCACACATGTCCAGTTTCTCGCATGCATAAAATGCATTGACTTCCAATGATGCAATTCTTATTCTTATAATATGCGTACTATACTAAAGATAGACTAATAGATGAGCCGGAATGGTATATCATGCAAGCCACCAATTACCCACTGATTGTTCCGCCTCTATGCTCATCAACCAACCAGTCAGCGGGAAAAGAAATATCTATGGATTAACTATTAGTAACCATGAGGGGTCTATTTCGATCTGTTTCTTTATATCTATATTCAGGAATTTGAACTCCATTGCTTGGTGAATTTCAGACTATCGGTTGGATGGAAATGCGGATTTCGCCGGCAAGAAGGCAGGAATAAGGGGTACGAACCAGCAAACATGGGGATTCAACCAACCAATTTTTCGGCTGTCAACCTGCTTTTTGTCCCGATGTTCGTTGGTGGAATCTCCCACCTGGGGTGACAATTCCACGACATCAACTTTTTTGGCTCGTAAAACTTGCATTGATGTTGGATAAACCTCCGTTTTTACTGCTTAACCACCTCGTTTTGTAAATCAACTACCCATTGATGTTCGATAAAGCTGCTATGTTGTGAAAAAAAACCATCCGTGCTGATTAAATCACATTTTTTCCACGGCGAATGGCTGCGCATCGCGCACCGCAGCAGTCGCTCTGCTGACGGCGTCTTAGGACGCAGCGGGCAGGGACTTGGTTCACTCAGAGGATTGGTGAATGGATGGATGTATATAATGTATATATGTATATTAATATATGATAATATATGTATGTAATTATGTAGGTAATTATATGTATATATATATATGTATGTGTATATATATATATATGTATGTACAAATAGATATTTTGATATGCAAACTGTAAATTTACGCATCATTGATAAATTTGAGATACATATCAGGAAAAACCAGGCTTGCGACACTTTCTTGCATTTGTTCTCGGAATCAAACGTGGCTGGGACACTGTTCTGGTGGCATTGTAGTGCTATTGGATCATCCGCCACATTCCATACAAGAATCAGAACCAATTCTACGAATATAATTACTCATATGTACAAATCATACATAAGTACACATAAAGTAAGTATGCACGTATCTACATATAATATACACATGTCAGAGTATATATATATATATGCATACATAATTATGCGTATATATATATATATATCACACGTATGTATAATATACATAATATCATATAATATATACATACATATCCACCTTAAAAAAAACAATTTTCAATATAGTTGATGCATTTCTACACATCATACAGTAGTTTTTATTGTTGATCTCCACATCCTGCTTCGCAGGATGCAGAACTTCCGGAACGTTGTCCCTGTTGCAAGACATCGGAGAAGTATTCAGCAGATTTCAGCAGCCAAACCTGAGGAAAGTCCATCAGCCAGGTGGTTAATGGTGGTTATCCTCTGGTAAACATAGAAAAAGCTATTGAAAAATTTGATGGTAGTTTTCCTGAAGTGTAACAAAGTACCAGAGGCTCAGTGGTTTGGTTTGATTCTGTTATTTTGATGTGGATAGAATACATACATATACTGGTTGGTGGTTTGGAATATTTTTCCATTTTTCCCATATATTGGGAATGATCATCCCAGCTGACGAAGTCCATCATTTTTCAGAGGGGTCAGCAGCAACCACCAACCAGTTACCCTCTGGTAATTTGTCAAATAGCTATTGAAAATGGCCATTTATAGTGGATTTTCCCATAAAAAATGGTGATTTTCCATAGCTATGTTAAATTACCAGAGGGTAATGGTGACTTAATGTTGATCCATAGCATCTGGAGGTGTCGACAGTCCTGGGGGATCACCATCAAGTTATGGTGACTTGGATGATTTGGCAAGGTAGCCCAAATGGACACCTGTGGAGAAAGCATCCCAACAAAATACCCTCTGGTAAACTAACATGGCTATGGAAAATGGCCATTTAATAGTGGATTTTCCCATTTAAAATAGTGATTTTCCATAGCTATGTTGGTTGACCAGAGGGTAACTGTACTTACAATTTGGGGCACCCCAAGATTTTCCGGGAAACTTTTTACGCGATGATGAGTAAGATTTTTCGTGCATGGCCTCCATATTATTTCATGATTTTCATGGGATAGGACCATTATTGAAGTTCCCTTCAGCAATCAACCATGCCAATGGAAAATCCACCATTTCTTGATGATTTTCCCGTTTAACTACCATTTCTTTTTCCGCTATTTCCTGGTCAGATATGCAAGCAGCACCTTGATGGGGCCCTCAGAATCCATCAACTGCTGCAGAGTTCCAGTGCATTGCTCTTATAATACACATCATGGTCCACCATTCTAGCTGGTTGGATGGTAACTGCATGTAAATTGCTATGTCATGATCTATAATACTGTATATATATATATCTATCAAGTCAAAATATAGCCAGTCTGATCATGCTTCCAGGATGTTCCAGGTATAGTCATAACAGCCCCACATCAACCGCATATCCCAATCCGCAGCATCAAGCAGCAGCCATCATCTGATGACCATATTGTCGCGCTTTAGGGGCGACCTGGGACATAGTCACATCTGTTGATGTTGTTTGCATAGGATCAGAAAATATATGTATCCAGTCTTTCTCTTGCTTCAAGGATGAAAGATAGTCAAAGAAGTAAACACGAGAGAGAGAGAGAGAGAACAAAATCAGCAACTCCAAACTAAACAGTGCATCATTGGCAAATCATTGGGTCTTGGTTTCCTCCTTATGTTCCGTTTTACAGGACCCTTCACACAGCGGTACATAGCCTTGGTTTGCTTCCGGAATGTGTGTTTTTTGGCTGTCGGCTTGTGCATATGCGAATCTGCATCAAACATATCATCAAATCCAGCTAGTATGCTACAGCCAATAATAAACTATCCCCAATTAGCGGCTCCTTCTTGGGATTTCAATCCTCCAGGGATCACCTAGATCCCCATTTTTCCACCATTTCTGTGGGGATCCTATGAATATGGAGCAAGGTCACCTTAGCATCAAGATCTCCAAGTGTCTGAATATGTTTCGTACTCCAAGTTATCTGGTTGGTGGTTGGTTGACCTACCCCTCTGAAAAATGATGGAGTTCGTCAGTTGGGATGATGACATTCCCAATATATGGAAAAATAAAGAATGTTCCAAACCACCAACCAGTTATGGTGGTGTGACATTGGAAAATGAGGTGAGCTAAACTAAACCTTTGGATGGGGTGCCCTATTCTCAGAGCCACGGTTTTGTTGGTGCAGATGCCGTCCGCTGCCAAGGAGCACAATCCTCTTTTTGTGGCGCCATCTCAAGGACTTCTTTTTTCGGCTCGCGCCCTGTCGTTGCTGCCATGTAGAGAAAATGCTAATTGGTTGTAATAACCAAGCCACATAGCCAAGAAGAAAAAATGTCGCATTTTGTCCAACATGTTTAACGATTTTTGGGAATGGTTCGCTGCGAGGTATCAATCAAAACGCACAAAATCGGCAATTTGTTCAGAAAAAAACGAAGTGACGGGACATTCACCCCAAGGAAAACCACATCCCAATGTGAGCCCTGTTAAAAAACGCAGTCATTCGCTTTCGGAGTCCAGTTCATGGATAGTGATCATTCCCAATCAATCTGAAGGGTAGGTCAATCTCCGAAGTTAATCATCAACCACTGATCACTTCTCAATTTTTTATTCTCAGATTTTGGGTTAACACACCATATTAGGGGGTTTCCAAAGTCATGGGGGTAGTTTCAACTCAAATGGGGGTAGCCCAACCAATCATCAATTTTTTTTGATCTTAATGGGATTTTGCAGCAAAATAAACCAGCCATTGGAGTAGCCCAGTATGGAACCCCCCCACCTCCAGAGCAGAGTCGGCTCGCGCAGGCCTCAGAGCTGATGGAGAGCTTCGATGCGAAAAACTGCTAGGAATTGAAGGGTTGCAAGGTGAGGCTTCAATAGGTCAGTTGGGCTTAGGGCTTTATATGACCATTTAAACCATTTATATGACATGATTGGAACATCTATAGCATCTATAGACTATGTTGTCATGTTGTAAGGCGCAACTGATAACTGGACGGCGGCTAGAGCCGGACTAGAGCCGGATCCACCCATGGGACATCCCACCACTTTTTGGTGGACTCTTTGAGTCCCAAATCTTGGTGGTCAAATCATCCCACCTTTTATGATACTATGAGTGTAAGGTTTCATCATGATAAATCATCAGATTTATCATGATAAATCATCAACAGAAACAATCTAAAACAATCATAAGAAGCTAAAAAAAGACGTCCATGTTTTACTTATGATTGCTGGCTAACCACCTAACATAGAACATGAGGCCCCATTTTCCACCACTCTCCTTCCCTCCTTCCCAGCTCCTTTCAAGTCCCCGACAGCAAGCCTCTGCGAAGGATGGAGGACAAACGATCCTTCACAGCACTGGCCTTTGGGATCGAAGCAGCGAACTTTGTAAAAAAGGCCCAATCCTGGGGCAAAAATATGTGAGTAAAAAGAGAATGAAGAGTCAACAAGACTACATATAAGAATCATAATTATAAATCTATGTCTATGTGATTGGAGCAGCACTTGGCATTTGCCTGGCAAATCAAAGAACCGACAAAACCTGCTGCCCAAATGAACTTGAGCAGCTTTCGACAGGGAATTCCATGAATTCCATGGAATTCCCACCCGGCTTTATGATGCTTTACTGTTTTGCATCTCCCCTAATTAATGGTTTGTCCTCATCAATGCAAAATCTGAAATCCAAATTCTTTCAATGCAAAGTTCGACACCCATTTGCCAATGGTTAATTAGGATTATTAATGGTTAATGATGATGAATGGCTATGGTTAATCAGCTATAAATGAGATTTTCATCTGGCGATCAACCGCCTTGCTGGAACATCCCAGCCAACACAGTGACCGGGAAATTGGACATCCAGCCATTTTTAGACAATCATCATTTATCATGTACAATCATCATAACTCATAACATCCATCTGTTTCCCACTATATCACATCTATTTTTCCATTCAATTTCACTATAGCCCTACAAAATCCCATGATATCCCTATTGCGTGTGAGTAGCTGGAGCCCTTCAGAGCCGGTTGGTTCGGTGCGTGCCCTCATGTCTGGTAGCTGTGCCATGCTGTGCTCATAGCTATCCAGCTTGGGTGGTGTGATGTGGTGTGTGGGCAGAACTTGGTGATTCATACCTAGAAACTCCCATTAAATCCTGGTTGGTGGATTATCCCATATGGGGATGGGTCAAAACTCTCCCTTTCTCCCTTTCGATGCGAGACACACGCTCAGAGGTCGGAGACATGTGTCCTAGTGAACCCCAAAATAGCTGGTAAATGGATGTTCATCCCATTAGAATGGATAATAATAGGTTTTGACCCACACCCATATATTATGGAAAATAAAAGCCATGTTCCAAACCACCAACCAGTATCCCATTCATTTTCAGCGAGTCGGATCCCGCCTTCATTGGCACTTGTCTCAGACTACCAGCTCGTTCCTCGTCAGGCACGGTCAAGTCCTGCGAGTCTGCAGAATAAAACCCGTTCTCAAAGGATTCAAGGATTCCAAAGATTGGATTCAAACATGGTAAGTTGATATATGAAGTGGCTTAACTATATGGTTTATATTGGTTTATGGTAGATATACCCTCTGGTTATGACTAACATAGCCATGGAAAAGCACCATTTTTAATAGGTAAACCATCTATAAATGGGCCATGGCTTCCATGGCTATGTTAAATAACCAGAGGGTAACTATAGTTCATGGGGGTTGTAATGGTTTATAAACAACATTCACATCACTGGGGGCTCCATCCTGTAGACTTTCATGGACATTTTATAGCGTAGTGGGATTCAATCGGATAATCCATGGGTCTTGATGGGATTTCACATGAGCATCTCATGGGATTTTCCATGTGATTCTACGGGGAAGATCGTGGGATATAACCAGCAGAATAGAGGTAGACATGATGGATTCTCCATTGCAATATTTGATACTGTAACCGGGAAAATACCCCAAACCATTTACGGTCAAATACTCCAAACCATCATATCAATTGCCCTCTGGTTGTTTAACATAGCCATGGAAAATCCCTTATAAATGGAGGTTTATAGCTGGGAACATCATCTATAAAAGGGCAATTTTCCATGGCTATGTTTGTCATAACCAGAGGCTATCGTTGTCTTGCGACAAACCCATATGACATCACGTGACACGTGTTCAAATGTCAAGATCCAAGATTTTCTGCGGAGTTCATGACGGAGCTTTTGTACAAGAATTGGGTACCCTCTGGTTATTTAATATAGCCATCTATACCATGGCTATGTTAGTCATAACCAAACGGTAATTCCATTAAGCACCCCCCAGAAACCATGGAAACCATGGAAACCAATCGGTTTAGCAGGGAAGCACTCCACATCGGGACCGGGCAATCGGGGTCCTCGGTAGGAGCTTTTCCTCTGCCCAACCTGTGCCATGGCCGCGAGCCACGACTCGGTGCTTCCGAGATCGTGCCATCGCAACTCAAAACGAGTCGTGTGCCCGCCATGTTGGCAGCACACTCCAAAATGGGACATTGGCAGCACAGGTTTTTGACTCCGAATGTTCCAAATGGCAACATATGGCAACATATGGCAACATTAACGGACATGTTTTTTTTGCCCTCGTCGCAATCAGTCCGTCCCAATGCCTGGTAGTGGGGTCCATGACACCTCCAGTCGCTTCTAAGCTTTTCCTCTCTTGCCGCATGGCCAAACGGTACCTGAGATGAGTGTTGACCATCTGCGGATGGTTGCCATGGAGATATTCGACATGTGTGAAACATGTGAAGCCACAAACCCATTCATTGATGCTATTTCCAAACGATACACGTTTTTTTCGCAGTTGAATTCCAATACTTGCTGGCAATTTGGGTTATTTCTTTTCTTAGTATCTGTTCATAAGCAAGGGGGTTGGAATTTGACCCCCACGAATTGCATGATTGGTGAAAGTGAGATCCTGATTGTGACTTAAAACTATCAATTCAATAAATCAATGATCAATTATAGTCACAATGATCAATGATCAATAAACTATCAATGATCCAGAGTTTATTTGATCCATGCAATAAATCAATGATCAATAAACTATCATTTTTTATTCTGAATCGCAGGATCCCCGATTTTCATATCATAACCCATAGGATCCATGGTGCTGCTATATATGGTAGCATGGATTCCATCAATATACCCCCAATGTTAGCATACATACCACCATGGATCCGTCATGGGTAATGAGAATGGCAACACATTTAAACTAAACTTCATGAGACGTGCATCAGCCCAAGTCACGCTCTTCGCTCCTCTCGAAGCCTCTCCTCCTCTTTCAGGTCCCGCCTCAGTGGAGCTATGCTCGAGTCATGGAACTGCTCGCTTCGCGAAAGATAGCGGAGCAGCAAAATATCATTCAATGGATTGGTTTAAAGGAAAAATTACAGGAAAACCCCATCTTTACTGGGAAAATCCATGGTTTCCTGCAGATTTTCCCTTAAACCAGTCCATTGAATCATGCTTCATCCTGATTCTTTCTGTTTTTTTTCCATATGTTCTCTATTTTTTTCACATCATAAAAGTTGTCCAATTCGTCTCACAATTTTGGTCGATCCGCCTGAAATCCCCTCATAAACCCAGCGGCAGAATGGCGCCCACTTCTCCCACGGATTTCTCCAGACGTTGCTGAGCCTTCAGCTGTGCCTCCACTGCTGGGAATTACTGGTAGCTATAGTATGGCCCAATATGATGGGAAAGTCATTCAAAATTCCATGGTTCCAGTCACCACCAACCAGATAATATATGGGTATTACAACCAAAAATAGGATGGTAATATGATGGTAATACTGGTTGGTGGTTGGCCTATCCCTCTGAAAAATATGAGTTCGTCAGATTGGATCATCATCCCAGCTATTGGGAAAAATAAAAGTCGTGTTCCAAACCACCAACCAGTTATAGTCAACCGAAAAAACGTACGTAAAATAGTATGTTAATATCATATACTGAATTAAAAGTATGATATAGTAGTTTAGTATTTTGTTTTGTAACCCCCAAAAAGATAGAAAAGTACATCATCACTGTTTTAGTGGGATTTTACTCTATCTTTGTAGGGATTCCTATAGTAATTGTATACGTTTAGCGATATTAATGTTATTTTGATCGCAAAGGCCGAGTGAAAGACAAAGCAACAGAATGATTTCCAAGATATGGATGTAAGTAAGCTGAAACTCTGCCATGCAGATTCAGAACTAGCGTTTCTCGTCATTTTTCCTGGACTAAACAAAACATCCATCATCCGCCTTATCATGATCATTGGCCACCAAATTTCTCGGCACTTAGTCAAAAATAGGTTCACTTACCCTCTGGTAATTTAACATAGACCCTGGCAAATGGGGGTGGGAAGACTAGTTTCCACTAAAAATTGGTCATTTTCAGGGTCTATGTTAATTTACCATAGGGTATTTGCTGCCGCATTAGCCACCAATTTCCCCTGCTTTCATCATTCCGATAAGGAAAGCTACCCCTCCTTTCACGGCTTTTGGGGCGAAAAAGTCGTGTCCTTGAGCCATCTCCGGAGCAACCATGACAGCATGATGGTTTGGGACTCACCAATTCGGCGTTGAGTGGAAGTTTTCAGCAACACCAGCCAGCCCCCAAATCATAAATATCATAAGTAGGTATAAACCATCCCAAAATATGCAGGTTTATGGCGTTCGCTTTGAACCACATTATATCAGACTTCTATCAAACACTCAAACTGATATAATGTTAAAAAGAAATAGTGTTTGAAATATCAGTATGTTCAATAGTGTTAATTAGTAACATCACCTGTTTACTATCAACACTGTTAATTAGTAACATCACCTGTTTAATATCAAGTAGTGTTAATTAATAGTGTTACCCTCTGGTAATTTAACATAGCTATTGAAAATGGCCATTTATAGTGGATTTACCCATGAAAAATGATGATTTTCCATAGCTATGTTAGTTTACCAGAGGGTACTATCAAAGATCACGATGAATTTTTCTGTTGCGACTCGGTTGGGAACCCAGTGGGGAACCCAGTGTGACCTCGCCTGGCGATGGTCGGTGAACTTCCGCTTCCGCTCTTTGTTCTTTTGCGACTGCCTCAGCGAAGGCCGATGTGGATGTGGGTCAAAATCGAAGACCTAGGGGACCACAGATGTTAGTCTAGTTTAGTATTCACCATCCAATTATTGGGGTACCTAATTTTGACCCATACCCATGTGGACTCCTGTCAAACTGGCAAAGTGGCAATGATGAGTTACTGCGACAGGTGGTTGAAAAAACCGAACAAATTTGTCACTGCGAGCTGGCTGGTTCCAGCAAAATGCGAAAAGCATCCTTTAGAATTCCTCAAAGGAAGACATCCCAGTCTGGCACTGAAGTCTTCAGATTTCAAAACGAGCTCATCGTCAAAGCACTGAGATTCGAAACTCTCAAAAACTACTGCAGGTACTGGTTTATATATATGTTTATAGTTGTTTACATCTGTTTATGTACACATATATATATAATATGTTTATGTATATATATATATGTTAATATATATATATATATGTTTATTTATGTTTGTATATATACCGGTTATGAAGGTTTACGCAGTATCAATCTAGTACAATTGGAATTTGATCGTGCGGATACACGGCCGAGCCACGATTTCCGCTTGAACTTCGCGACTCTTCTTTCATAGGCCTTAGACATCAGAAACCACGTGGTTGCCATGTGGTTTCTGCCAGCCCTGCGATAGAAAAATGAGGCCAGCATCTATAGCGAAAATATCAAAAATGTTACCATGATCAATCATTGATGCCAGCATCCATATATGTTACCACAGGAAATCGTTTGAAAATGAGTGCCAGCATCAAACAATCCACCCAGCTCTTCACTTTTTGTTGCCGCTGTCAGGTGACTTCTTCCGATTCTCCCTCCTGTTGCTCTGGAGCTTCATGGGAGCAAAACATCTTTCGGTACCTGACACGGTGTGCCCAGCATTCCTTGTTCATTTTTCCTATGCTGACCCTCCAGGAAACATACGACAACATATTGAAATCCATTTCTTCCCACATCTTCGCTGCATCTCATGTTTCAAATTTGCTGGTTGGTGGTTTTAACCATCTTGAAAACTATTAGTCAATGAGAAGGATTATCCCATATATGAAATGGAAAAACAAAATTCATGTTCCAAACCACCAACCAGTTTGGATTTGCTTCATGGTATCCCAAATTAATCGATTCATCTATTCCCAGTTCTCCAGTCATTCTCCATTGGGGAAATCACAGAAAAACTTAACAGCAAATCTCAGCATATCCCAATGAAAAAATCTCCCCATTCAAATAAACAACACGCAACAGTGACATGTTGTTTGGATATGAAAAATTGAGATATATGTTTTATTATCATTTAAAAACCATGAGGAATATCATCCAATATCCATGGATATTCATTGTACCTCATTTTAAAAAACCATGACATGTGGCGTTTGGATGAGTCGGATGAGGTACAATGACCCCCATGACTGTGGCTGTTGAAGGGATGTTATATTATGAGGTTTATTAAATATTGACATATCTATAAAACATCAATATCCCATAAACTATCTATATAAATATACAACTATTAGGTTTCTCCTTATCTATATCCCATGATAGTTGTATCCCCATCACTAATCGCTAGAAATCCCTAAGCTTACAACCATATATTCATAATTTATAGCAATTAATGTGGGTAAAACAATAATAATAAACCATCCCTGAAAAATCACCATGAATGGGTTGTATAAACCATTCCCACATGGGTGGTTTATGGCATTGTTTTAACATGTTTTAACCACATTACACCATGTTTGGAGAGCACGTTGCGATTCGGGTGACATCATCCATAGCGTCCACAGCTTCATCCTGCGGCCAGGAATTACGTGAAACATTGGGGGATTTCTATTCTTGTATACATTAAGAAATAAAAAACTCACAAAAATACATAAACAAACATCAAATTTGGGGGATTTCTCTGGGAATATAATGGAATAGCAGAGGATTACAAGAGGATATACCATCAACAATATGATATTTGGGTGTGTCTGAAGATCGAGGATACACCAGGATAATCATTGAAAATCAAGTCAACAACTCCCTGGGAAAGGCCAGAGGCCGCAATTAGAAGGGGAAGTGGATTCCTAACAGTCATTGAGCCATGAAAATAGATAATAATACTTACTTAGTTATTCATGTTTTCCACGAATTATCAATATTCAATAAACTATTGGATATTCACAATTGGTCATTATGCTCATTTCTGTGACATGCCGAGGGCCACCTCACTGTTTTCAGCATTCTCACAGTTCCAGTCAGTTCCACAAATCAAACACAACCAAACGTGGAAACAGTGCTTACATCCTTTCGGCCAGCACTTTTTCAAAACCCCTCAGCAACCGACTCATCTGCTTACGGCGTCTTCTAACCATCACCTACTAGTCTTCTACCATGGTTGCCAACCGTTCCAACCGTTCCAACGGCTGTGCCACATGGTTTATTCTAGAAACTTGCCTTGCGAAACCATCATTCACTCACAAACTCAAAACACATATCTATACTTATCTCATCATGTCCTGAAAAACACCAGCCACTTCAGCCACTTGTTTACCTCTATGGTTCGATACGATGGAAACACATTAACTGTTCTCGTATACCCCTATCCTATCTCGTGAAATCACTAGTTGGTCGAAAACGGTTTCCCGCAAACTATGGGTAGTTCAGAATCCCCAATAAGCCAATACCAATCAACCAGTTTTAAAAGTGTTTATACACCCATTAACTAGCTCGTCATATTCCCCGAAGCAACCCAACAGTTCACCAAGTTTTGAAGTATAAATCCCATGGAAATCCCCATTTTTCTGGGTGAAATCACCATTTTCCCATGGTTTTCCCATGGTTTTCCCATGGTTTTCACATGGAAACCATGGCCATTCCCGCATCCCGCTGCATCGCCCGACCCCCAAGGCATCTTTCAGCTCGGCCGTGATGGGTCGACGTGTCCTCTCCAGGACCTTGGCCTGGAGAAGCGATGGTACAATCAGATGGTAATATATACAATCATCATTAGATGATACACTATAGGAACTATATATATAGGACTATATATATATAGGTGAAAATGGGACTAATCCCTTCCTCCTAATACTAAACCCCCCCCCTAATACAAAACACGGCAGGTAGTTTTTAGTATTAGGGGGGTATTTATTATTAGGGAACCAAATCGAAGTCATGTTAATTAATTAATTAAATTTCCTTATATAACGCAATTAAAATATTGCCAAAAATGGCAGTTCGAAGCTTACCCCTAATACTAAATTAAAACCCTTAATACTAAAAACTATTTTTTCCGATCTCAAAATCAATTAAATTTCCTTATATAACGCAATTAAAATATTGCCAAAAATGGCAGTTCGAAGCTTACCCCTAATACTAAATTAAAACCCTTAATACTAAAAACTATTTTTTCCGATCTCAAGATCAATTAAATTTCCTTATATAACGCAATTAAAATATTGCCAAAAATGGCAGTTCGAAGCTTACCCCTAATACTAAATTAAAACCCTTAATACTAAAAACTAGCCCCCCTAATACTAAACACCCCGGGATGAATTAGTTTTTAGTATTAGGGGGGAGAACCCACAAATGGTAGGTTGATTTTTGAATTGTTTTTTAAAGGGGATCAATTAAAAGTCAAATTGGCCAAACTGAAATTTTCGGAAATTGGAGATGGATGCCTGTTTTTAGTATTAGGGGGACGTTTAGTATTAGGAGGAAGGGATTATATATCACTAGTTGGTGGTTTAATGGGACTTTATAGGGATTGAAAATGGGACTATATATATATAACTAACACAACTATAGAAAGTCATAACTATAGGTGAATCATCGAACTGACATGGTCTATGTTTTTTTTTTCCTAAATAGCTATCTGGTTGGTGGTTTCAAACATGAACTTTGTTTTCAATTTCATATATGGGATGTCATCCTTCACATTGACGAGCTCATATTTTTCAAGGTGGTTAAAACCACCAACCAGTATATATTTAAAAAAAAAATATACATCGGATAAATGACACTACTATCATTAATGGTGTCTAGATGGTATTTAGATGACACTATCATTATGGTATCATTATGGGTATGAAATATATTAATATTACCATTTAATGGTAGTAATAGTTATTAGATGATAATCATTAGATGGGGTCTACTATCATTAAATATTATTGATCATATATTATCTACTATCATATAGTTAGTACATATTGTACCATCTACGAATATACTTACTATCATATAGTACACAATAATAGTAATATCTATAATAATATCTATAATAGTATACAATAGATAACCTATGGAAATATTATTCTTATCTATTGTGAAAATGATCTATGGCAATTTTAAATATAACAATCATAGATGGCAATAGATGGCAATATTGTAATAATGGTATAATCATAGTACTAATAGACCAATAGATCTAGAATGTATAACCATTATTACTGCAATATCTATCTTAATATTATTGTCAATAGATGGTAAAATAGAACAGTACTAATAGACTAATAGAAATTGTATTATAGTACTACTTTTACTGTAATCATTTTCGAGGTATGGTCCAATTTAATATCCATAATAATGGTATAATCATAGTACTAATAGACTAATAGATCTATAATATATCATTATTATAATTATGGTAACACTCATTAATTTATATGGTAAGAAATATGATAGAGATATGGTACTACAATTATAATGACAATATCTCTATTATGACAATATATTATCATGATATCATTATAGCATATTATTGTCAATAGACCTACTGTATGGTAAAATTCTTATCAGTATAGTTTTTAGTGTATATTACATATATCTAACATTATTAACAATATACAGCGAACCATAATATGTATATAGTTTTTACTGTCAGGTCACTGTTTATTGTATATCAATGAATGTAATCTTTATTAATCAGCTAGTGTCAGATTATCCATTGGTAATATCATATCCAATAGCCAATTAACTTTTAATTGCTTGATGGTTTTTAACATTAAATATTAATAGATTATCATGATATGAATATTAGTAACAACAAATGGATTAAGCATTGATCAGTTAATCAATAGTGGTAATACCCAATAGAAACTAAATATGAATAGTTGATAGGTGGTAAATAGCATCAACGAGCTAAGCATGAAGGCTTAATGGATGTCAATATTAGCTATCAGTGGTTAATTGCTACAATAGCTACCTTACTAGTGGTATATCCATGTTACATGGATATCACATGTCATAAAAAATATTGAAGCATACAATGATAAACATATGATATACCATTGTGGATATATATACACATATTTATTTATTTGGCGACATAATGTAAGATTGAAACATATCAATCATGGATATTCTATTAATGTACCAGTATTGCTAAAATGTTATGGTAACATGACTGTTGATACCATTATTAATGGTTGATGGCATGGTATTACCATAGAGTATTTACTATGTTATGGTAATTGGTAGATTCTGGAAATGGTTGTTAAGGTAATACCATGGTAATATATGGTAACATTAGTGTTTATGTATGTACCTAAACTATGCTATTGTTAATATTGATAATATTTGTTATTATGATATTCCATGTTCTTATTTATGATGTGTAATAACTATATATATATAAATCTATATGCATATGTGTTAATGTGTATAGGTGTGTACATGTTTATATGTATATGTATAGACATGTGTGTATATGTATCTATGTATTGGATATTTACTGTACTATGTATTCATTTTCAATCTATCATGGTAGAAATTAAAGAATTATAGTATAGTATAGATATTCTAGCGACATTTTGGATATATAAATTGAGTATCTAAACACATATGCATATTAGTATATTAATGTTGTTTGGTATACATAGTTAAAAGGTAATGTGGTGTATATACAGTCAGTAATGATAGATTGGTATTAGTGGTTAGCAGTAGATCATATTCAACATTAGCACAATATAAGAAACATATTTGTAAATATTGTTTTAAAAAATAGCACAATATTGACGTAATCTGAAAATAACAGCCGTATACAATAAGGACAACATTAGTAGATTTTAAGCAACATCTTAACATAATGTGAGCAACAATTTAGACATATAATGTTCATTAAACACTAGGTAAACATTAGCATCGTATGAGTAAAATATTAGTCACACATAGCATTATCTGAATTTGATATTAGTAAAAAGTGCGGCAAAACCCTGAGGTTTTTGCCCGGACTTTCCATAAGCGTCTAGATGATGCTGATGACGATGGTAGCGATGATGATAATGATGATCATTGTCAACCTACACATAATAAGTATATTTAATCCCTAATGGGATCGTAAAAAATGGGCGCTGGTGGATCAAAGCCTGCATTTTCTTACATCTTGGCTTCCAAGGCCCAATATTGTTGGTATTATAATATATAGTACATTAGAAAACAACACTATACTATCAGTAAATGTTCGTGCGTTATCTACGATATCAGCATAATTTGTGATATATATATAAATATAATAGTTTATAACTAGCCAACAACGAATCTGTTTGAATCCTTTCATTCTTCCCTCAGGAAATTAACTGTTTGCCGTGGAAATGGTCCATTTGTAGGTGACTCACATTCAATTACCTATCAAAACATGTTTTCCATAGCAAACTGTTAGTTTACCAGAGAATAACTTGTGTTACATCCATCAATTTCACATTGCAACTTTTAATCTGCACAGACATCCATCTTCTCAAGCTGAGTTTGAAGAGCTGTACCCAGAAGTGAAAAAATGAAAACAACGTCTCCGCGATGCAACGACTGTTATGCGACTGTGCCTCCTCTTCTTTTTCCAGCTCTTTGGCTGCTGCCATACAGGCCTTAGCTTTTTGGGACGCCATCTGCTGAGATTAGGCCACAAGTAGATATAAGTAGTCTATTTGCCAATGTTCATCTCATACCCATCAAACATAGACTCCACATGTTTTTTTTAAAATCATATTTATCTCATAATCCTCCAGTCTCTTTGGAGCTGCAACTGAATATATAATCAATAAATGACTTGGAGGTTTCTGACACGAAAAATGACCCACATCCAGTCACTTTGCTGTCGGGTTTTTGACGCAATCATCCAGTTGGGCGCCGGGCCAAATCTTCGTAGGCTTCACTTTGAGGATTCACCGACTGCCCCTGGGACTGACTCCTTTGAAGGTGGACAAAATTGAACTTTGGAGATTTGATGATGTTTGGCTACTTGAAAAATAATCCCAGCTAGGTGGTTTCCAACCCATATGATAATCATAATCGATATATAACTGGGTATAGTGATTGTATGGTTTGTAATCCATAATCCGTATATAACTGGGTATTTCATATGTTGACACAGAGTTATTGATGCTGGTTCTGTTCCGCACCTTTCGAAACTTTCCAAGGTTATTTGGGCGATCCTAGAGTTGGGACTTTGGTGATCAACTATCATAGATGGGCTTCAAACTGTCAATTTTCGTCTATTATTTCTATTTTATTTTCTCCTGTTTTGACATGCTCGCTCTGCTGTTGAAACCGCTATATGGTCATCCGCAGTTAGCTGGTTGTGTGGTTGCAGACGCATGTCTCTAAGCAATGACCGGCTTCCAGTATTCAAAGTTGTTTCAGTACAATTTCCGGGTAACACCGACAACGATCGAACACCCATTTACCACAATTTGGGGATGGGTCAAAAACTATTATTCCATATTTGAGTGAATAAACTGCCATTTACCAGCTATTCGGCACCCAGGGTGCCAGGGTTTTGACTCATAGCCACTAGTGGATTCGGAGCAGCGAACGTACCCACCCGAGTTTTCCACCTCATGCGCTGGAAGCACTGCAGGGGCACAACTCGCCTGAAATCGGGGGAACTGATGGATGATTTCCCAGTAGAATCTGGGGAAATGATGAACAATTCTGGGGATATTTCATGCAATGTGTGGCCCCCCAGTTATAAGTTGGTTTAGATTCGCCCCAGTAACTATAGTTATTTGCGTACCATAAACCATAGTTATTGGAGTTATTGGCACCAACTTAGCTATCTTGGGGGCCTCACATTGTGCGAATATCATGGGAATTCCATGATATATATATATATTATAACCAACTGGACTGGATATGATACATGGGGTTGTCTGAAAATTGGGTACCCGCAAGGCATCAACGGATATCATTTTTTCCTACATTCTTTGGGTCAAAGCCAAGTAGCCAAGAAAAGAAGAAGCTATGCCACCCCTGTTGGAAAAAATAGCTTTTTGTGTACCAGAAATGAAAAACAGGTGCGTGTAATCCCATCCCCCTAATATTAATCTCCCCCTTTGAAACCATGGTTTAGTAGGGAACTTCCACGTAATTAGAACCATTTAGGGGGTGTTTAATATTAGGGGGATGGGATTATTCACAATTCCTTCGATCTCTTCTATTTGGGCATGGCAAAAGCCTGGGGCCAAGGTCAAGAACAGCTCAAGATCTCATGGCTTATGGCACCTCCATTTTGAAATTGGGGCATTTTGAAATTAATCGGTTTCCAGCCATCACCATATCACCATATCGCCATATCACCAAATCACCATATCACCATATCAATCTATCAATCTATCAATCAATCTATCAATCTATCAATCTATCTATCAATCTATCAATCAATCTATCAATCTATCAATCTATCAATCAATCTAATCTATCAATCAATCTATCAATCTATCAATCTATCAATAATCAATCAATCAATCAATCAATCTATCAATCTATCAATCAATCAATCAATCTATCTATCTATCTATGTATCTATGTATTTATGTATCTATGGATGCATGCATGGATACATGTACATGTATGCATGTATGCATGTGTGCATGTATGTAATGTCACATAATGTCACAAAATGTCACATAATGTCACACAATGTCACATAATGTCATGTAATGTAATGTTATGTAATGTAATTGTATGTATGCATGTATGTATGTATCTATTTATCTATATATATTTATATAATTATATATATATATATATATATATCTGCGTAAATTATAATATTTCACTAACCTGAATTGTTCGGCCATTTGGGGATTATTTCCCCTACTATGAGTATAACCCAGGCCTCACCGCTTTTGGGGTTGGATCCCAAGCATCCACAAAAAAGTGTGGTTTTTACATCAAGAAATCCATAGATGGTGATGGATTTTTTCATATAAATCATTTTTTTTATAGAATTCCATGATTTTAGATCTTATGGCAAACATTTTCCATCAACTCATCTTATGGCCATCTGGATTTGATCACAATATTTTTACTCAGAAACTCACCCAGCTCGCGGCTTCGGCACCTTCTGATGCATACTCCGAGGCGTGTGGACCGGCATTGGCTTCGCGGTCTTGCGGATGTGAAAGCCGCCCAACTGTGGAGCGTGCGGATCGAGCGGCAAAATCCACGATGATTTCCATCCATAGCTGCATCCATAGGATTTTCCATTGGCAAGTTTGATGAAACGAATATTTGATTTTCGCAGTCAGATAATAGAACTAAGGGGGATTTGAGTATCAAAAACTGGTATTGAAAAACAAGGCCCCATCTAGTATATGGGACATTAAAGCGAAGAAATTCAACACTAATCCAGGGGTCAAAGGTATTGCAACCTGAAGTCAACATCAACGAAGCTGCAACCTTTCTCTATGAAAGTAGGATCTGTCACCTCCAAAGTTGAGCGCAACTTGTCCTCTACAATGTGGGGCCCCCCAGTTATAAGTTGGTTTATAAACCCCATTAACTATAGTTATTTGCGTACCATAAACCATAGTTATTGGTTATTGGAGTTATTTGCACCAACTTAGCTATCGAACGGGGGCCCCACATTGTATGTGTACAGTCATCTCCTACAAAACTTTCCGCAATCTCTTTGGGGATCATCACTGGAGACGTTGGGAGAATCCATGGTAAAGCCATGGGAATTTCAGGATCCTAAAATGGAGGTACCGATTCCATATATAAGGCCTATTTTTTAGGGCTATTTAAGGGGATATCCCCCCAACATATGGCCAAAAATATGGTACTAACGTACCTCCATTTTAGGATCCTGGAATTCCCATTGATGGTTTGAAAGCCAGCTATGCCATGCATTCCGCTGGCGCAATCGGACTTCTACTAACCGCAGTAAGATATTTTTGAGCATCAGCCGACTCCTATCCAGGAAGAAATCACCAAGTTGCCATGCCTGTCCCCATAACAATAAGATACAATAAGCATTTGGGATCTGAAAATATGGTACTCCCAATTCCAATGGAAATTCATTTTCACGGTCAAACTGGCCAAACACTGGGAGTATCTCCTAGCAGTCAAACCCAATTTGCAGTTATAAACCAACATAACACAACTTAAAAATTAACATAGCTGTGGAAAATCAACATTTTTAGTGACTAAATCAACGAACTAAATGGGCCATTTTCAATAGCTAACACGATTTATAATGACCCCAGTGGCACCACCAGCTCCACTTCCTGGACCTGGGCATCTTCTTTCTCCGCCTTCCACTGTTCCGCCTGGACATGGTCGGTTGAACGCCACGGGACCGAGAAAAGGGGACCCTTGAGAGGATGAGTTTGTGCTACGAAATATTAAAAAACCAGGTGCAGGATGGAGCCCCAGTTCGTGAACGCTAAGTTGGTGCAAATAACTATAATAACTATGGTTTATGGTACGCAAATAGCTATAGTTAATGGGGTTTATAAACCAACTTATAACTGGGGGGCTAATTAATAACAATAGTGTATGATGTATGATACTTATAACCACGTATATTTACATGGGGTTATAAACCAGGGCCCCATCCTGTAAATAACGAATACATTTGGGATGTAATAGCACAACATGACACCTAGTCTTTAGATTTGGTCAGACACTGTGATGAATGTGGCCTTGCCCAATACCCTCTGGTAAACTAACATAGCTATTGAAAATGGCCCTTTATAGTGGATTTACCATTAAAAATTGTGATTTTCCATAGTTACGTTAGATTACCAGAGGGTAGCATCCCGCTTCTGTAATTCGGCCAGCCTAGCTCAAGTTCACTTTCGTTTCTATTCACAGACAAGATGTTCTAGCAAGAACCACGCTCGGAATAATACTATACAATATGATACCTATACCCAATTACTAATATTCGATCTTTGCAAATTCCGAGCATGTCAAGGTTTCATGGGAGAAAAACATACAGCTTGCCCCTTCCGAGAATTGATGACTAGGCCTTGGTGGGCATGGACCAAAGGTCAAAGACCTCAGGACCTTTCGGCTTCTCTGGCTGCCTGCAGAACAGTGCTTTGTGTTGCTTGGAACATGTGACATATTTCAATCATGATCCAGATGCATAATTACAAAATCATTCCAGCATATGATTTTCTCCCTCTCACTATTGATTTCTTTTCTTCTATCACAGATTTATCATATGTTTTATGTTTATCATATATCATACATCTAGTATATCCTCATATACGATACATAAATAGGTATGTCAAACATGACAAAAACTATATATTTTAAATCTAAATGGGCGAAGTGCGAAAGTCAATATTCATTTTATGGCCCCAAGTCATCAATTTTTGGAGAGTGTAGTCGTTTTCCGGGTTTTGGGAACCTATATGTTCTTGTTTCTTATGTGTTCATATATTCCATCACATATCTATCGCATATCTCTAGCTATAGCCAATCATATACCATGTAAGTCTGTCGTATATCATTTTTTAGTCGTATGATTCATGTAATCATATATAACATATCTGATAATCAATTATTATATATCCATCGTGCATCATATATCCGCTGGATGATATATCATGATATATCTATGATACGAACTTCTTTTTTGTAATACGGTAAGTTATATATCATTACAACATCCTATGATCTATTATAAGCCATATATTGTCTGTTGTACATCTAATCTATGTTAATCTATACGATATATATATATATATACGGGCGGCACTCCCGGCCTGGGGGTACATCAGACAGTTATATCTATAGGTAGATAGATAGATAGATAGATATATATATATATATATCATCTGGGTTTCATTTAGGGTTTCTTTAGGGTTTCTTTAGGTTTCTTTAGGGTTCATTTAGGGTTTCTTGAGGGCAAATTTAGGGTTTTTTGCTCTTTTTCTTGTAGGTTTTCTTTGATGAGGGAAATTCTCGTCAGCCATCGGAGATGGACGACATCCCGATTTTTTCTCACTGGCCCGGTGAGAATCAAAACGCACTTCCCCGGGCAGCATACCCGTCCTGGCCGTATATAAATATATATATATATTTATACACAACATAATATACAACCCTTATGGATCCAAACACCTCCTGAGAAGGTACCAACCCCCCCAAATCATACCCCAAACACTTCCTAAGAAGGAACTTGGACTCATGGGGCAATTATATATATAACTACACATACCGTAGATCTACTGTATGTATGTATATATATATACATATATATTAAACACAATCAGTCATATATACACGGATTGTTACATATCATATATACTATATATAAATGGATTATTATTCATATATTCCATATAAATGATATTCATATTATGGAATACTCATTTATCATATGCCCATCATACATCACATGCGGTATTGATTACATCTATCATAAATCTAGAATCCATATAATAGTATATAGTCTATATGATGAACGATGAATCTATCTATGAAAAAATATCTATATCTATAATAAATAAAATATATATATATCATATCTATCATACATCTAATATACATTAATGTATATAATATGCAATCATATATTAATTTGCAATATATATTTATATACATATGTATGCATGATAGATTTTTATACATATATAAATATACAAACATATCTAATTAATATAGATAATTGATATACATATATATATGTATGTATGTATGTACGTACGTACGTACCTACATACATACATACATACATACATTACATTACATTACATTACATTACATTACATTACATTACATTACGTACGTACGTACATACATACATACATATACAAACATATCTAATAGATAGATGATATATGTATATATTTATAAATATCTATATATATATATCTATATCTAATATCTAATATCTAATATCTATCTCTTACATCCATTATCCGTCCATTGCGCCTATTCGCCAGGCGTTGCATCGTTCGCTCCACCTTGGCCTCGCGGAAAAACAAATCAGAGCTAGGCAGCCCAAAAACGGGTGGACTGAAACATGGCTTGAACCAGAAACGGTTTAATATTAATGATGGTTATTAAAGAGCCATTTATTAACCAGAAACCAGAAATGATGGCTATGTTAATAACTATAATTTATATATTCCATTTATATTGCACATTTTTGAAAATGCGGTTGAACTAGGAAAAGAAGAAGAAATTGAAAGTTTCAAGGTGAAACAAATGGGGGCTGAAAAGCATGTTTTTCATCTCAACATATACCCTCTGGTAAACTAACATAGCTATGGAAAATCACCATTTTCAATGGGAAAATCCACTATTTCAATGGTCATTTTCCAGTTCGCTATTTGACAAATTACCAGAGGGTAAATTTCACCCGATGTGAAGAGTTCACCTCATTTTTGCCTAAATCCCCATGATTTTGGAGAAGCCCACTGGACTTTCCAGCCAGGTGTGGTGTGAGTTTTTCGGCCTAGTCCAGGTGTTGAAACCGGCCGGTTGTCAGAGCACGCTGCCCGGATCTCGTAGAACGATGGGGAAAGAATCGGGGTAAATCCTTTTCCACAAAAGAAACGCCACGGGAAGACCCCCAGCAGAGACACATGTGTCAGTCCAATCTTTGGCCCAAAAGCTGAGCATCAAACGAAGACCGGACAAATCAAAGCCACAGGTTTCTGACCAAGAAATCGCATCCCCACTGCATCACGTCTCATACTGAGTTGACATATTTGTACGCTTTGTCTAGCATATTTTTGCATAGATCATCATCGACCGCAGACTACAGAGGGGTGCGGGACCAATTTACGAAGTGGGTCAAAAGATACACGGATCTAATTAGGGTATAGTATAGCTTATATTTTCAACTGGGTCATATTTAGTTCTTAATCATTATCAACCACATTTTTTTTATAGATGCCTGGGACTTTCATCAGAGACTACTTGGGGATGCAGTTCCCCATAGGGCCCCATATCCCCAACTTATTGGTTTCTTCCACTGTTTCTACAATGGTATACCCTCTGGTCAACGTTAACAAAAAACGATGGAAAGATCCACCATTTATAGCTGGGTAAATGCACTATTTCTATGGCAACAATTTTCTTAGGGATTTCATAGGGATTTACCCTCTGGTAAACATAGAAAAAACTATGGAACATCACCATTTTTTAATGGGTAAATCCACCATAAATGGCAAATTTCAATAGCTATGTGGCTGTTTACCAGAGGGTATACCCTTCTGAAACCATCCGGCCTCTTCTGATCCCGTGATGCCCAAATCGGGCCCCTTCTCACGGAAGATCTTCTGCCGCGCCAAGTCACGGCGCGACCTGATTTTGGCTCAGAGGCCATGATTTTCAGATGGATGATCAATGCTGGTTAGTGGTGCAATAACCATCTTCAAAAATATGAGTTAGTCAATGGGAAGGATTATCCCATATATTATGGAAAACAAAAAATGTTTGAAACCACCAAACAGAATGGGATGAATTTTGGGGTTCAATAGCTTTTAATCCTACCAGCAGAACATTTGGGTAGAAGTTCTGTGGAGCGTGAAAAGACAACAAGAATTTGCAGAGCTGGTTGAAACCCGGTGACAAACCATGAGCTTCATGACCTGTGACAGGAAGGGGTTTGTCTGTTAAGTAAGATACCCCCAAAATGGTTGTTTTTTCTATGAGAGCATGATGATGAGCATGATGATAAAGCATTTTGTTTTGGGGGGAAGAAGGGCGCCTTGATTTCAGACAAAAGCAATCATCATCAATCTAGATTTACGAACATCATATCCAGATTTTTGCATCACAATCACACGGTGACGGATTCTTCATGATTCTTCCATTCCTTCAGGAGGAACCCCAAATTGAAACATAAGTCCCGTAGATTCCGTTGAGAATTTTCAGCAACATACAGCAAGTCTAAACATACCCAGCACCTGGTGTAAGCGCGGATCTGTCCCCATATGCCCAACAGTTGGAAACCCAACGCTGCTGAAACTCCTTCAAACGACCTGAGATTGCCGGGGAGGTAGCTGGGGGCAACGATGGTCGGAGTATATCATGGCAGAGGTATATAACTGTGGTCAGTATGATTAGTGAGGGTGTGTACCTACTCAAAACTGTTGGCCAACGAGCAATCAAAGCACTGGGGAGCTAAGGAGCGCTCAATCATTCTGTTTTCTTGCGCACCATCAGCGGGGACCGCTCAACAAATTGGGATAGAGCAAAAAAAACATTGCATGTTGGCAAAATCAGTACCGGTAATGAACATAGTAGGGACGCAACCAAGAACCAGCGTGGAAAGCGATCAACATAACTGGTGGTTCCAATACGTTCCAATTCCTTTGGACAATTCCCCAAAGATCAGCAACGAAGCCAAGATCAGTGCCGTTTCTTTGGACTTTGTCACTTCTGTTTGAATTTGACAGCGGCCTTGAGCTCATCCTTTTTGGTAAATATGATGAAGTTGGTAGATCCAAAATCAGTGATCTACGATTTTTCATCACCCAAACAGGGCTCCCAAATAAAAAGTTAGCCGCCTTTTTGCCGCATCGCATTGAGGCAACATGTGGCGCTTCGCACGGTTTTGTCTAGTGGTGGTAAACCCAATGAACTATACCCAATTGACCATCCATATTGCCCAACTTGGGTAACCACCATAGCCTGGGGATTGAGCATTAGCTTTACCCCATACCCAACAGATCCCCTGATTTTTTCAGGGCAAAAAATCACCGAGTTTCCGACCCCTTGGTGTCCACTGTGAACAACGCCTCCAAGTCGTCCTGCTCCTTGGTGGTCTTGGTGGCCTTGCTGGCACCCTTTAAAGCCTGGCGGATCGTGAAAATCATGGGATTTACCACCTAGTGTTTTTTTTTTGGGGACGACCATGCTGTCATTCCGAAGTGCTCCCCATTGAAAATAGAGAATATCATTATAATTATATATATAGGGAATATGGATACCCATAGCTCCGAAACGCTCCTTCCTAACAAAAAGGGAGAGTATGTAACTTATTTAGCCACCATTTCTCTTGGATGGTAGCAATTTCTGAGCAAAAAAAAGTGGAACAACATCATCCCAGTGCCATCCCCGGATGATTCTAACGTTCGCTCAGAAGTACCTCAGAATTAAAGGACCCCGTACCGCTTTCAACTGAAGAGAGGGTATCCCCAAATCCACTGCTTTGTAATCATTTCTCCCAGTCAAATTAGCACAAGTTGTTGACTTCTTGATATACATTTCATCCTGGTTGGTGGTGCAATGTGCCCATCTTGAAAAATGATGGAGTTCGTCAATGGGAAGGATGACATCCCATATATGAAATGGAAAATAAATTTCATGTTTGAAACCACCAACCAGCATCACATTTCCCTTTGAATGGTCATGATTCGTCTATCCGCACCCTTTCGAACTGCCGGGATCGATTCTCACGCAGCGGAGAGATCACGTAGGGAACAGCAGCTGTGAATCAATCAAAGCTTCGTCCAATGTAGCCGAATTTTTACGGCCCATAAAATGGGGGGTTCGTGGTTAGTTCTATGGGGGTACCCAATAGCTGGATGGTTGATTTCATGGAACATCATGAAAAATCCCAAAAAACATGGATGATTTGGGGGTACCCTCTGGTAAACAGCCACATAACTATGGAAAGATCCACCCATTTATAGCTGGGTAAATCAACGATTTCGACTGGGCCATTTTCAATGGCTTTTGGTATGTTTACCAGAGGGTATAATCATCATAAACCCATGGAAGAAATGGAGGTTTTATTGGGAAAATCATGGATTCCCAATAAATGGACCCATTTTACCCAAATAAATGGAGGTTACCCCAATAGCTGGATGGTTTATTTGCTGGAAAATCCATCTATAAAATGGATGAGAACTGGGGGTACCCCCATGATTATTGGGAAAATCATCATAAACCTATGATAATTGATAGAAACCCATCATAAACCCATGATAAATGGATGAGAACTGGGGGTACCCCCATAAAAATGGATACCTCGTTTTTGTTGCTTGGGAAATGATGGGCAGGATTTGGGAAGTTCACACTCGATGCCGATCAGATTGATTCTGGCCCTTGACGGAAGTCCTAGATTTATCGTGGTAATTTTACAAGCAATGTTACCAATAAAGGATGGCAAAGCAATAGGATTAATTGATATTAATTGGATGATTATTATTGGATTTATGGTAAAGATTATGATTCATGGTGGATTTTTAGTAAAGCAATAGGATTCATCATGCCTAATTTTACCATAAATGGATGGTATAGACTATAGATGACTAAGACCATCAATCCAAATGGGTGGTTTATGACATTGCTTTTAAAAGACATAAACAAAGTCAATTCAATGTTCCATTCAAGAATGGGTTTATGATGATTATACCCTGATGATTTTCCCAATAATCATGGGGGTATATTCATCATCCAAAAAATGTTCATCATTTTTAGCTCCTGTTCCCGAAATGCGCAGAAATGAAGCGAAATGTTCAGGCGGCTTCAAGCGTTTCATGGCGTCCTTGAAAGTTTCATGGGAAGTTTTAGGAAAAACATCCCAAGGATACTAAAATTTGGTGGGTGAAAGGCCGATGGGAAAACTGGAGAATCCCTGGGTTAAACGTAGGGTATTTTTCTGGGTTTTCATCCCAGAAATTCCAAAGCAGGTCACACATAAACCCTCCACATCCATAACTTTCATTGACTCAACTGATTCTAGGTGTGCATCCGGATGTTGACGCTGTTGACCAAGGTCAAATAATCCACAAGAATCCGAAATGATTGTAAACATATAGAGGTTTCCTAAAATGGGTGTACCCCTTCATCATCTATTTCATTCCGGATTTTCCAGCATTTTGGAAAACCTACTATTTTTAGCTACCCCCATCTATAATCATTATTGTAGAAACCCTCACATATATATATATACCCACCGTAGGACATTTGCTGTTCAAACAAAACAGTTGGTTTTTTGAATCTGCCATTATTTAATACTATTAATCACTATTAATCACTATTGATCACTATTTAATCATTATTTAATACTATTTATTCACTATTTGATGGATCAACCTTTACCTTGCCATTTACCTTGCCCCTTGCGGTGCTTTTTTCGGATCAGCCTGGATCACGAGTTTTTTTTGTGCGGAAACATAGCAATCCGAATGACTCTTCTCTATTCATGTCTGATATAAATATAATATAGATATAAATATAGTCATAAATATAGATATGGATATGAATATATAAACTATATATATATACAATCATATATAATCATAGATATACATAGATGCATGCGTTGCATCTATCCAACTCTCAGAATTATGGAAAGAACTCTGAGAAAACAAGGGAATCCAGATTCATCCAGATTCATCCAGATTGATATCCCCATGAAACCCCATTAAATGCCATCTATAATTACATCCCTAAAAAATCATATGAAATCCCTATAAAACCTCAGCTTGAATCCTGAACCTTGCACGCATATCGCTGTGAGACATTTTGTTTCAGCGGTTGCTGCGGAGCTTGATTCCCTGGGCTTCACTGAACTTCTCTGTTGGATGGCCAGCTTTCACCAAAACAAGGCTTGATAGGAATTGGCCCTTGATCGTTGAACCCAAATTTGAGGCTAAAATTTTGCGGCTTTTGAATGTTTTTGAGCCATTTCCCCAGTTGCTATAGTACCAAGCAGCACGGTGCTTGAGATCAGCCTTCCAGGTTTACCGCGCTTCTTTAAAAATGCCAGGGGTTTGAAACAACAGCAACCGCGTCGGAAATGGCAAACATTGGGCCTGGCAGGTCTATGCCATGATGGTACAAACGAACGCCTTGGGAGGACAGAATGCTGTGACCAGTTTTCACAGACAGAACCAGGGTAATTCAGAATGCAATACATTCAACACATATATTTCAGGGTCAGGTAGCACTTGTTGGTACTTCCAGTTGTGATTCCACGAAAATACGAAAATCAGCTCTTCAGGTCAGGCTTCCAATGTTTTTGTGCTGATTGACAGCATCTGCGTTCAGCTCACGATTCACCTGCCAGGATCTGTCCCCACGTCCCTTTGTTCGAGGAAGTCATGGTTCACCTCGTCAGTTTTCAGCTGCTTAGGTTAACCGGTTAACATATCCATGCCATGATTTGATGGCGGCAAATTGACACGTTCTACTTTTGAGACTTCCAGCTTTCAATCTGTGGGTACCAGTGACCTGTGAAACAAAACAGAGCTTTCTGGAAGAATCCTGGCACCACAATGTGGGGCCGGGCCTACGAAATCGCTTAGTTGGGGCCACAACTCCAATTTCACGATGGTTTATGATACTTATAACATCTTATAACTACTATAATCAATGGGGTTTATAAACATTTATAAACCAACTTATAATTGGGGAGGCACATTGTACATATAAATATTCAAAGCATTGGTCGATTGACACCCAGCTGACTTCGTCCAGGTCATCTTGGAGAGTGCCACCATCGGCTTGGACTGAAACGACTGGGGTATAATCCGAATTGGGTATTAATAAAAGATTGCCAATGATGATTCACTGGGACCAATGATGATTCACTTAAACGGATTTGGGGGTACTATATTGTCACAGAAACCCACAGTGGATGATATTTAAAGAGTACATCAAAATCTAACTCAATCCTGGTCTCTGCACGTAGCACAGAAATCCTGCCAGCAAAGTCCCGATCAAAAACCACTGAGATGCCCAACATGGGCCAAGTTCACCCTCCAATCCTCTAATTTGTTGGGGCAATTTCAGGCACCCCGTGACATGGAACTCACATATCCAAGGTCAACAAGCATTTAGAATCACGGAGCCACAAATCCACCTAATCATGTAGCTATGGGATATACTGACCTCATTACATGATAATTTTCGGGGAATCATCCCCCAATGGGCACTATCCGGGGTTTCTCTTCAACGTTCGACATTTGGGGATGTACAAACCGCTGGGAAGTCGCGCGGGTATGGTCATCCAATAAAAAGGATGGACAGAATGGCTATAATCCCAATTTTCATGGGGTTTGACACCTTCCACTTTCCACTTACATGGCATTGTAAAGCCCATCAAACAACCCACCAAAAAAATCCCAAAAACATTTCAACATGTAGATTGGAAGTCTTCAAAATGGAAATTTCATGTTCTAGATCATCATTTCAAACATTTACTACCCTCTGGTAATTTAACATAGCTATTGAAAATCACCTTTTTCAATGGGACAACTCACTAATAAATGGCCATTTTCAATAGCAAAATTTGACAAATTACCAGGTAACCTCCCAGTTTTCCACTCAGTAAACTCCACATCTAAAAACCACAGAAAAAACCGTGGCTCAGCGCTGCGCTGCGCCTTCATTGGAGGAGGAGGAGGCCGGGGCGGGGTACGCGGATCCTTTGGATGGCCGTGGTTCGCTGGCGTTTCTCTCCTGCGGGTGCTGGGGGAACTGCCTAGAAACCAGACATTGGATATACCGGATATAGATATAGAAAATCTGATATTTAGAGAGTATATAGAGAATAATACATCAGATGATATATGATTGTATGTATGATGATATTATATACACAATATAGAGACATAGATCATGGGTCAAAAGCCTGGTACGCGGATGGTACCCGGATGGTACCCTGAAATAGCTCGTTAAGGGAGGTTTATTCCCCGGAATATGGTAATAATAGGTTTTGACGCAGAACCATGTAGAGATATACGTCATTAAATGATATTATGTGCAATTCTACAATCATATACAGTGGATTAAATAATGATTGACTTGTATTGATGTGGGTAATGCCGAATGCCATAAACCATCACCATAAATAGTAGGTAGT